CATGGCCGCTCTCCGGTGGGGATGGCTCTCTTCTCGGTTCCAGGGATGTGTTTCTTCTCCTTTCCCCATTTTGTTAGTTGATTTTTGATTTTGGTGGTGTTTTTCTTTCTCCGACGTGTGCTGGATGGCACCGAAGCTCTCCGACCCTGATTTTTTAGGAGGTTCTCCTTCGTCTCGATCTTTTTTAGAAGTTCTCTCGGGTCCTTCTGCTGGTAACGATTTTCTTGAACTTAAGTTTTCTTTATTCCGCGGTTTACCTTCCCTTTGGATTTCGGATGAAGAAATTAAGGCGTTGGCAGTTCCTTTTCAATTCTCTTTAGTTGGTTTCTTCCCTACTAAACGTCCGTCTCTAAATTCAATTCGTAAATTTTTTTTTCAATCTCAAGCTCATTGGAGATGTTTCAGTTACCTTGATGGATTCATCTCATGTCCTTATCAAACTTGCTAATGACCTAGATTACTGCCGCATTCTCTGCCATAGATCGTATCTAGTTTTAATTGTTATTTGAAGCTTACAAAGTGGTCTCCTCTTGTTGATGTCGGGGTTGAGTCGCTGGTGATCCCGATATTGGTTTCTTTTCCGCTTATGCGGCCTCATCTTTTTTCTCCACGTATTCTTCATGGCTTGGCCTCTCTCTTTGGCAAGCCATTAAAAATTGATACTGCCACTTCTTTGGGGTATAGACCATCTTTAGCTCGTGTTTTAGTTGAGTTGGATATCACTAAATCCTACCCTGATCGGATTTGGTTAGGTTCAGAGAAGCTTGGTTATGTACAGCAAGTTGTGATGGATGTTTTCCCTAATTTTTGTGTTGTCTGTCGTTGTATCGGTCATGCTGTGGGAGAGTGTCGTCCTAAAGTTTCTGCCTTGGATTCGGCTGTCTTGCCCCAAATTGTTGAACCACTTGTTGAGGTTTATCCCAAACCTGTTGCGCTTGTTATTGTGAACTCTGTTGTCCCTTCTGTGTTGCCTGCGGAACAAGGTTTAGATTGTAACATTGGTTTTATTGAGGATGATGTTTCTGTTGTGACTCCTGCTATTGAGCGAGGGTCGGATACACTTTGTGTTCTGCCTGTGGATCCTTTGCCCATTGTTGATATGATTTTTCCATCTGTGGATGTTGCTGTTAATACACAGAATATTGTTCTTGTAGTTGATCCCATTTTGAACGGTGTGTCTGGGGTTAATATGGTTGATGTTGTTGATTTTCCCTTGGGTGAATCGACTAATATTTTGGATGAGCGGGTTTGTGTTTCTGAGCCAGTGGTGGCTTTTGTTGCCCCTGTTATGGTGGGGATAGGGGATCCTATGTTGATGCAGACTGGTTGTGTGAATCTTAATGGAGATGTTGAGGGTGTTAATACAGTTTCTTCTCCTGTTTTTAATATTGTTGTGGAGTCTTCTCAGAATACTGGTAGTCAGGATTTGGTTGCAGGTGGTATTAATGCTAAGGAAGGATGGTGTTTAGTTCTAATTCCTTTGTCGATGTGCCAGTGAACTTAATCGAGCCACAAGCTTTGGTTTACCATGCGGGAGATAATTCCGGGTTGGATGTGAGGACTCATTTTGATTGGTTGCAGTGTACGTCTGAACTTGAATCTAATTCTGATTCCTCTTCGGAGTATTGTGGAGGTTTTGATCCTGGTCATGATTCCAAATTGGTTCATGATAGACCTATTGTTTCTGTCGCCCCTCGTGGTAGGTTTCGTGGGAGGGGCAAAAGAGGTAGATAGTCCTCTTTTTTATTGTGATTGTTACCCCTTTGCTTTCCCTGGATGGTTTTTTTGGTGTTTATTTCATTTTTGGGGGACGTGGGTTGATTGGGCAATGATGTGGCTGGGGCTCGTTTCTTCGTCGTTATGCTGATGGCAACCTTTGGTGATGCTTTCTTGCTCGGTTGGATGGTTAGCTTAGCGTCTTTCTTCGCCAAATTGGATGGTCCATGTCAGGTTTCGGGGAAGCTAGGAGCCTCGGCTAATAACTGAGCCGGCTGATTATCTTCACTTTGTATTTTTTTCTGCTTTTTTGGCTTTCTGCCTCTTGTACTTACTTTTTTGGTTTAATATATTTTTGGATTTTGGAAAAAAAAAATACTAAGGGATATGTTTGGGATAATTTTTTTAGCTACTTTATTTTTATAGCAATAATAATTTTTTTACTACTTTCTCACTGCTTATAAGAAACTTTTATGATAAAAAATTATTTTTTGACAATCATAATAATATAAGCTGTTTTCTCTATAGTAATTTTATAATCAACTATATAAAACGTTATAGTCATTCAAAACTGATCCTAAATCTTTTTTGAAACAACTTTTCTATTACTTTCATTGTAAGAAAAAATGGTCAGTAAAAAATAACATGTATTTAAAAGATAATTTTTTCAAAGCTATTTCCAATTTTTGCTTATAATTTTATTTTTGAAAAAAATAATTCTTAAATTTATGACAGAAAAGAGCTTTAAAAATAGAAAAATGAATACCCCCTTAAACAAAGCTTTTTTTTTTTTTTTTTGGGGGCATATATTTTTTAAGACCAATCCTCTATCATCCTGAATGCAATAACGGTATTAACATGACATTATCATAATATTAATGATAGACAGTGATATCTTAATATAATATTCTGCTAATCATCAACCATTAATTTATTCAACTAATCAATTTTTTTATTGAAAAAAACATCCCATCAACCTCCATAATATAATGATTCGATTGTCTCGTTGGATCATCCTAGATTGCCTCACTAATTTTAGGATTAGCGACACTTAATGATTAATCAAATGTGTTAATCCTATTAAAGAAACTACTACGAATGTACTGCTAAGAACTAATCGTAAGCAGTGGTTCATATTTCATTATCACGTTAATCTCTATAGTTAATGATTTATTGTTTGATTTTATTTTAATTATCCTCCACATAAATCCACTAACTATTATTTGGCACAGCTTTTTTATTGCTTTTTAAATCAACTTTGTAGTGCAAAATTTTTAATTCAAGAAATTTTTATATTTAAAAACTACTTTAGAAGCTTAATTATAAATTACTTTTGAATTTTAGTAAATGAATTAGGTCATTATATTATTTGTGAGATCTATTTCTATGTTCTCTTAGATTCATATTGAATAATCAAACCATCTGGAATTATATTTGATGATTCAATGCATGTAGAAATTGGAAGATAATGATATGAAACTGACTATACAAACTCTAATGTTTGCTTTTATGATAAATTGAATTTTTTCTTTTATTTTTTATAAGAATAAGACATGTGAGTCACATATACATAATTGTCAATGAAGAAACAATTAGTTACATTTGAATCAAATATATAATATAAAATTTCGTTTGGGACGATTTTTTTACTGTTTCTAAATGTAGCTTTTTAATAGAAAATTTTTTTTTACTAAAAATGTATTTTAAGTAGTAAGAAAATCTTTCCTAATAAAATCTAAAATTGTGAAGCAAAATATATTTGCACTCCCCCACCGACAAAACACTCCCAATTCGCCCCTGATCTCACGCCTATTTACGGGCTATGCCACTCCAGAAAAACTATAAATAGAGCCCTCATTCTACACCAAAGGGACTCAAGTGAAGAGAGAGAAGAAGAAGGAAGAGGGGAAAAAGGCGATTCCTCTCCTCCTCGACCACCGCCGGAGCTCTTCCCGCCGCCTGAATACGCCGGAACTCTACCGGATTTTCGGGAAACGCCGGGAATTTGCAGAACTTTGTAAACTTCCTGAAAGAAAAAAATTGTATTCTGATTGTCCCGACTTGTGGGACGAATCAGCCATTTGTAATCTACAAAAACACTAGTATAACTTTACAACTAGGCAAGGCCCCATGGTTTTTTTCCTTTTTGGGTTTTCCACGTAAAAACTTTGGTGTTCATTTCTCTTTTCTGTTTGTGTGCGAAATACTCGTGCAACGCTAAGACGAATATTTTCTAACTCTACTGGCGCGTATATTCTAGCACGCAACACGTAACAAAAAAAAGTCTAGATATATTCTCCAATTCGAAAAAAAATATCATTTGTGAGCAATGCAGCGTCAATATTGACGTCGCACTATTCACATCACCAAAATGACGCAAGTTTTCGTGTACGATTAGAGCAACTCACGAATAGTAAATGCTTCGATTGGAGATGACCTGATGTCATCATTCTTTTATGTTATATTGCTCACTTTCTATCATCAATTTACTTTTTTTAATATAACTTTTTCAATTTAATTCATACTCATGCCTCTGTATTTATGTAACTATAAAAAATTTAGTGGTAAGAGTGAATATTTCTTAAAGTTGCACAAAGATTTTACATGAAAATTCCATTCCATGAAGGGAAAAAGGCATTGGGATTAACTTATTTGAAATAGCCTATCATGTATGTGATGATTATAGAATTTTGCTTTTCCTTCTAATTGGAGAGTAAGGTATTACAAAATATAAATGGATGGTATAATCTCCTGAGAGTGTAGTTGAAAACACCATCATAATAATGATGGATGGTGAGCGTCAATGTCAATCGATGGAAAGATTATTATACGCGGGTTTCAGACATAGAGAACTATTCGACTTTATGACTGTGAATAGTAAAAGCACAGCTATTATTCAATCCCACGGTTTTGCTATTCACAGTTATAAAACCGAACAGTTCTCTGTATCCAAACTCCGCACGTAATAATCTCTCCAATCGATGGCCAATAAAGATGATCTGGCATCAAAGACAACAATGTTCAAATGATAGTTGAGTAATTACGAGATTCCTAATTATTTAGGTTTAATTGATTTCGTAGATCTCAATGCTTTTTTTTTTTTTTGAAAACTCCTATTTATTGGGATTATCATTCAGATGTTCTCTTCGTAGTTTTTTTTTAATCTTATTTACGTACGTAGTTCACATTAGCTCTACTGGTAGGCAGCTGTTTTTTAGAGCACAATATTTTTATTTAAAAATAAATAAATTTTTATTTCGAAAATTTAATAAAAAAATAATAATAATTTTGATTGACCCATTATCGAATCAGGTGGAAAGTCTCCCGTTCCATGGCATCCACGTCTCATCTTATCCTGCCCACCGCCGTTCGCGCCGACTTCTCTCGCCGCCGGGAAGGGCCTCTGCGCCTTCCCGCCACCATACGGAATTTCCCTTCTCCTCGGCGCCTTCTTCCAAATCCTCTTCGAGCATCTCCTCCTACACTCGCCGCTGCCTCTACCTCCTCTTCCCTGAAAGCCCTAATCTTCGACTGCGACGGCGTCATCCTTGAATCGGAGCACCTCCACCGGCAGGCGTACAACGAAGCCTTCGCCCATTTCTCCGTCCGATGCCCCGTCTCCTCGCCGAAGCCTCTTTACTGGGATTCCGATTTCTATGATGAGCTACAGAATCGAATTGGTGGAGGGAAACCTAAGATGAGATGGTCTTTTTTTCCGATATTGTCCTTCCCTTTCCTTTTTCACTCTCTGCGTCTCTCTTTAATAAGACTGAAATTTGAATTGTAGGTATTTCAAGGAGAATGGATGGCCTTCTTCTTCGATCTACGCGCAGCCTCCTTTGACGGATTCGGACAGGGAAACATTAATCGACGTGATCCAGGTGAGTTTTCTTGCTTTCTCGTTGGTTAATTAACTAACAGGTCAAAGCGACCTTGCTCATCTTGCTGGACTGAAATGCTTTACCCGACTTAGACGCTTCTCCATTGATGGAATGATAAATAACTTTTCTGTTCAGTGAGAATGTTCTGAGCCTAATATGCATTAATCTCGTTGTAACCATGTTCAGTTATTTGAGAATAACTGTGCTATTTTCCTGGACACAAATGATAAGCTTAGATCATCTTCAACCTAACTCCATATCACTATCACTATATGTCGTCCGTCATCTGTTCCATTTGAACTCCAAATCCCACTATCAAATTCTAGTAGGTAAACAGTGCGATGCTAATATTGACATCGAATTGTTCACCTATGCCAAAAAAATTCGTTGCGAGATTTGCCGAAGAAGTACGCGAAAGAGGAGAAAAGCGCACCAATGATGGTTACCTTCGCAGGAAGCGCACGAAAGAAGAATAAATAACATTTGATTAGAGAAAAATGACTGCATTTTAAAATTTTACTGTATTTTGGAGTGAAAAATGATTTTTTCGGTTGGAGATGCCCTAATTATACTGTAATAAATTATCCAGTTTTTTGTTCTAGATTGCACTATACTTTGGTTTTTGATACTTGGTGGACCTGAAAATGTTATACATGTTTTTATCTATGGGGGTTTCCAGACTTATTTTAATAGTTTTCCTGCTTATGAAGGATTGGAAAACAGAAAGGTACAAGGAAATAATCAAATCTGGAGCTGTGAGTATAACTTCCTTGTATTGCTTGTTACATACCAAATAGTGGTAGCATACTCATGATGATTCACTTTTCAGGTTGAGCCTAGGCCTGGTGTTCTTAGATTGATGGATGATGCTAAGGGTGCGGTAATACGGCTCGATTCTAAAGCCTGATTGCTTTTCTTCCCTCTATTGTTTAATGGATTCGAGTTGGTGTTGCTATTTAGATTTTGTTTGGTGCGACTTTTTTACTGCCGCTTAAAAGTAACTTTTTAGTACAAATTTAAATTTTTTGTGCTAGAAAGCTATTTTAAGGATCATTAAAAAGCCGCCTCAAACAAAGTCTTACTCTTATCCAACTATAGCTAGCAATAGTAGTCCTAAAACGTCCAATGATAATTTTCTTTCTGTAAGGTTCATATGTATAATGGTTTGTTAGAAATAGTTCTCTGATGGTACAGGGTATCAAGGTTGCAGTTTGTTCTGCAGCAACAAAAAGTTCTGTCGTTCTATGTTTGGAGAATCTTCTTGGATTAGTAAGACTCTTCTCCCAAGCTTGTTTTTCACTCAAAATTTTCTGTTTCTATTCTCAAAAGTTTGTTGAAATTATGTGGTTGTACTAAGATGGCTACTTAATAGTATCATATTTGATTTGTATTGTTCTTATAGGAACGCTTCCATGGTCTTGATTGCTTCCTCGCAGGTAATGGTTCCAATTTTTTGCTTCCTCCCATATTTTTGTGAGGAAAATTAATTGTCCTACAAGTCTTCTTAGTTATGGTTCTTGAAATGCTACTGTTTTTGGCATTAGCTACCATGCTTGAAATAACCCCCATTGGTCCATGAAATATATGATTCAAATAAAGGCTTTATACTATAACAACAACATCATCATCAAACCTTTATCCCACTATGTGGGGTCAGCTACATAAACCATTTTTTCTCCATTATATCCTGTTAAGAGTTAAATTCTCATTTAAATCTAATAAAGAGAGATTATTTCTAATATTTTCTAACCAACTCTTTTTAAGCCTGCCTCTACCTTTGCTAACATAAATCAAATCTCCTTTATTTTACAGAAATCATTACATCAAGTTATTGATATTATATCAATGAATGCTTTTCCCTATACTCGTTTTGGAATATTATTTGTCAGGTTTTCTATTAGTATTGTTAGAGATTCTCTAATTATTAGTTAAGTTCTGAGCCTCGAGCTATTTCTTACTATAGGAAATGAATTTTACACTAATGTTTTTTAGTTTTTCTTCCCATACTATTCTAGCTATTATGTTAGGGATTTTAGATTATTTCTAATTTGTTTTAATATAAATTTCAATTTATTATATATGTATTCTATTATTATATTGATTTTGTTCATTAACACAAGATACTTATGTTTGTATGTTGGAATACTTATTTTGACAGTTCATTTAGAAACTCTATCAAATAGAATATCATTTTCTAAGCTCAACAAGCTACTCATTTATAAGTTCCATTAAGTTTGATTGGTGGCTCATTAATGGGCTTGATAAATTTGTTCACTAATAGATTCAATAGGGCTCAATTGTGAAGTAATAAACATATTGATAATATAGCTCATTAATAGCTTTAAAGACTCATTTACAAGTAGCTCATTTAAAGTTTGATAACACAATACGAACTAAACATGAGCCAAACTCAAACCAAACTCAAACATCTATGACTTAAAATGACTCAAGCTAGAACACAAACAAAGAAACTCAAATCGAGCTCAAACATAGCTTGAACAAGTTGGTAATAAAGAGCTCAAATATGAACAAGCATCTTCTCAGCTTGATTTGGTTTGTTTACAACCGTAGTAATATTCGTTCGTGATATTTTTTTCCCTTTTATAATTTATCAAAACCAATTTGTTCTTTATGAGTTATTCTGATTATAAGACTAGATATGAACCAAACATTCATAGAGAACTAATTACATGTTTCCTTATGTTAGTCATGGTGCATACCTACCATAATTAGAAGGCAGCTCTAAATGGAAAACTAGTTACTTCTCAAAGATAATTCTAACTCTTCTAATCACAGGTGATGATGTGAAAGAAAAGAAGCCCAGCCCATTAATTTATTTGACAGCTTCAGAGGTAATTAATTATAAAATAAATAGTACCGTTTCTGCTGATGAAGTATTCATTTGCTTTATTTTTCCTTGGTTTTCGATCTCTTGATGAACTTATTTTCCATTGGATTTAATGGCTGAGACCTTAGTGGTATTGTAATTCAGAAGCTCGGTGTGTCTGGAGGAAATTGCTTGGTAGTGGAGGATAGTGTCATTGGGTTGCAGGTACTTGAGCTACAGAAAGTTATGAAAGACTTAACATTTAACATGAAACTTAGCTAAGACTGTATGTATTGCATATAGGCAGCAACTGGAGCTGGAATGCCCTGTATAGTAACTTACACATCATCAACTGCTAACCAGGTGAGAGCTACCATTCTTGATTTTTTTAAGGCATGAATATATTCTTTTGATAATTCATTTTATTGCAAATTTAACATAAAACTTTGAGAAATCTACAGGATTTCAAAGAGGCCATTGCAACATATTCTGACTTGAGAAATGTCAGGTAGAATAATACTATACTATTAGTTAGTGAATTTATTTATGTGAGATCTTCCATCACTTGAGTTTCTCTTTCTTACAGGCTGCAAGATCTCGAGCTATTACTTCAAAAATCTTTGCTGGCCACCTAATACATAGTGTGACAGATTGTACAATTATGTCTCTAACTAGAGCAAATAATGTTTGTTCAAGAATTTTACTCAAACAATCTATTGATTATGTATTTCTCCTCAGTCCGGGCAAATAAGCATTTTGTCATCTACTTCTGAACATTTACTGACTTGAGAGTTGAAGTTTGTTTTTTCCTTCTTTCTTTTGATTATTTCAAGAGCTTCAGATCCAAAGTTTAGCAATGTTATCAAGGTTTTAGTGGGTATAAATTGGTTGCACTAATCCGTTTAGAATATACTAAATCAATTTTGGCTGAAATTAGCCCCAAAATCAGGTTCAAACCTTTGGCTTCAACTCACTTTGGTTACTAAGAATCAGAATTTCATTATATATCAAAACTCATAACAAAATTATATTATCAACTGACAACTTTTTAAATCAATTTGACATATAGCCATTATCTCATGTCATATAAATAACTTGATAGGGGTCTTCTCTCTCTCTCATACATATACTGTCGATGTGAAAAATAAAAAATTGACCCCCACTTGATTGAACCCCATTTAAGAGGCGCTGTCGCTCGAGGGGAATCGAGCACGGATTGGGGGGTTCCCAACCGTACTTGCCCACCTACCAAGCTAACCATCGGTGGGTATATTTTATAATGCTAAAAAGGATGTTTACTTTCAAGGACTCTCACATGGATGGGCGGTGATTGTTAAGATGTACGTAAGAATAAAAATAATTCGACATCAACAATGAAATAATAGTTGAGTTCTTAATACATTAGTTGTAGGCCTTATCCATTTACTTAAACTTTTGAGTTTATGGCATACATCTTTTGTTGACAATGGTGGTCAAATTATAGAAGACTGTGTCAGCATTTTGGATCTCAGTCAGCATCAAATTTACATCAGCTTGTACAAGCAACAATTTGAAAAGTTAAAAAGCACTCCAATAAATTATAGATGCAGGAATCAGAACTAGACATACCTCTCCATTGGATCAAATAAAACATTTTAAATGAGATCCACTCTGCTCAATTTAAGTCTGGCGTTGCTTTGGCTCAAATTTTCGGACAGCAACATGTCATTTGAGACTTCTTGTTATAAAAACAACCAGCTTCAACACTAGTCCATAATTCACTGTCCGTAGCATATCTGTTAAAAGAAAGCTCCTTGAATCAAGTAAAAAAGAAATAGAATATTTAGGCGAATTCTCGCTAGATTGCTGAGGCTAGATTTCCAGATTATGGTTATTCTTCTGCAATGAAAGGTAAAACTGGGCAGAAAATCAGAAGGATTCATCCAGAAAATTAGAACACATTATTCTAAAAGAATGGCAAATGAGCAATGACTAGAGTGAATCTGCAAGAAAGGTATGCGAAGAACACATTATTCTAAAAGAATGGCAGACGAGCAATGAGTAGAGTGAATCTGCGAAAAAGGTATGCGAAGTATATTTGTAATGATCAGAAACCTTAAGCGTCAGTGGTTACCCTACCACTTGGCCACAAATTTAAAGGACATCAGTGCTTCTTCAATAATCATAACAACATCAAGCCTGAAATGTATTAAAATACTTACAAAATATTATTGCAGCTGAAATATCATATAACTATCCCTCTTCATTTTATCATATACACATTTTGAAAATTTTCAAAATATACAAAGCTATACTAAAATATCAAGTTTTTACTTTCGGCTCTTTCACAAACAACGAAATCCTTACTACGGAATTCTGAGTACAACAACAACATCATCAAACTTTTATCCCACTATGTGGGGTCGACTTGTGTTAAATCCAAAAAACACAACCGTGACTTCGGAAAGTACTTCTACTCAGTAGGTGCCTCCTGACTCAGAAAAATAAACAAATTGATGCACTTTTCAAACATAAGGAACATAAGATAACATTGGGCAGATGCTATATAAGGTTATGACAAGAGTTGGTGGCAGTATGAAACATATAAATGGGCAATCATATCACCCAAGCTAAGTGTTGGTGTGTATTAAAAATTTAAAACATATAGAAAAGGGCCCAAACTAGCCTTATTGGAAACTGGCAACATATCACCTATTTGGAGTCCTCGACTCTCGCATAGCTACCTTACTTATCAAGTGTACTTGGCCACATATGCCGCATGATGGAGCCACGAACGGGACACTCAAGAAACCGAGTTTCATTTCATGTATATTCGATGAAAGAATATATGATCAAAGAAATAGAACGGGAAACAATATCATAATAAACTGAGAACGTTCCTCAATGAAAATCAATAGTTAAATCATGATCAGACTTCAAATTCTCAGTAGAGAATTGGATGGGTTTGTTCAGCAAAAATGCAGGACACTCTAGTTAAAACTTAAGATGAAAATTTTTTTATATTTGAAGTTTACAAATATTTTCAAACCGATGTTCCTTCGATGACATTGATCAAGACATGCATTTGAATCACATAAAATGGTTCTCATAAGTATAGGAGTTTCAAACCATAGAAATCTAATAAGAATTGCTCGCATGTTAAAATTTTGCATGTAATTGATTCAAGATAAAAATTTAACCATTTGGCATGAAGATCAAGGTGAATCAAATGTCCCTTTCAAGACAGAAATTTCATTCAAAGCAATACTTGCATAGCATGATTATCATAAACTTAGCTCAAAATGATACATGACTAATCAAATAAAATTTCAATGGATAAACCATTCAATATTTAGTTATGTGAAATCACCTACTGCAAAGTAGCTGATAGAAGCTTGTTTTGATTGAAAAAAAGGTTGGATATCTTCTCTCAAATTTCTTGATTTTATGAGTTTTTTTATCCTTGACAATCTCTATATATCTAGCTCCTCTCTCCACAAGGAATTGACTAATCCTGCCTCTTTTTTTGCAGAATTAAGAACAGAATAAGTTCATTTCATATTTTTTTTCTAATTTATAATATCGCTCCTTTTATTGGCAGCTCCTATTTACAAGCTTGAAGTTACAAGACTTCTTGCAACCTGAGAACTTCTAAAAGCTAGGATTCGGTGGGGAAGAGTTGGCAAAGATCATGTAAAGGGACTTGGAATATTTGCTAGGGTTTTAAGAGAGTGATGTTGGGTAATCTAGAGTTAGGAAGGGAGGACACAAAATAAAATAACTTGGAAACTCACCAAAGTTTCATGGGAGGATCAGACAAAGCTTTACCAAGGATTGCTAACATTCCTATTCTTCCACAAGCGCGAGTATAAAATTGATTTTTTCTCTCTCATGATAATTCTCTCATGCACAAATATAAATGGATAATTGAAGAGTCATCAATTTTTAGTCAAGCTAAATTAAAGATCTTGCATCATAAATCTATGATCTTATAATGTTGACACTTGAAGTGTTATTAATCTTTGGCCCAACTAAATTGAAGAACCTTTGTTGTCAATTTTTAGCCCAACCAAGTTTAAAGATCACCGCTCTACCATTGTTCTTTGGTGAAGCATTAGATCCATCTCTCCATTGATTTTTTGTTCTAGGAAAGTGTGATTGCTTTTTTTTCTCTAATGACTATGCCTGATTAAAAGCCTCATGGTTACTCTTAAATTATTTTCAGATGATTTCCATAAGAATAATTGCTAAGTTAAGCTAAGCTCGTTGGTGCATTCGATCTTTAGTTGCCCGTCTATTAAAAATTAGATATCATTGTCATTCTCTTAAACTAACGGGAAAGGCAAAAAAATAAAATTAAAAAATATAATAACTTTTTGCAAATTTCAAAAGAATGCATGTGAACTATCCAAAGAGTCGTCATTCTTTGTTTTAATCTAGTAAGTTCAGGATCCCGCATTGTCGATAATCGATCTTATCAGGCTTTGAAGATTGTCTTCGGTTCAACATTATACCAACACTCCATAAATTAAATTTCATTTAAAGAAAGTATGATCACAGGAAATATGCATAAGATAATAAATGGGAAAACAATATCATAATCAAAAGGGAATGCTCGAGAGAAAATAATCAAATAATGATTAAACTTGAAAACTTTAAAAGAGCATTAACCAGGTTCCTTTAATAAAATAGAAGGGCCACTCTAGTTAAAATACGTGGATAAATATTTTAGTAAATGAAATGCCCAAATATTAGCAAATTGATGTTTTTTCTATGAGGTTAATCAAAGTGGCAATCAAATGATAGCACATCAAATAGTCCTTAAGGAGTTCCACACATAATGTCAACACAATATGGATTAGTCATCTTTAGCTCCTGATTAACTATTCTCTTCCTCAATATCGCATTTATTCTTCCACTCAAGCCACTCGAAGTACAACACAAAAGTTGCAGAAAGCCAAGGATTCCTCCAAGCATCATTGGCTAACACAATACTCCATCTCTCCATCTGCAACAGCTCATTAAACTCACATGGCCTCCTTTTCATCTCCTCATAGATTTCAAGCCATGGAAGTAGAGATAAGATTTAATTGAACAATCAACACCATAAAATCAATCTCAGCTTACATGACAAAGCTTATGCAATAAGGACAAAAATAGTACTGTACAACAAACCTAGCTCTATTTTGATCAAAAAGAAAATCAACTTTCAGTTTTCATAGGTCTAAGTCTCTAACATAAAATATCTAGCATTTGAAAAAAAAAATCCAGAGAACTACTAAAAACATAATCATACATTCCTGTTAAAAGATATTACCTTGAATGCCCGACAAACCTGCGTTCCAAGTGGCAGGTTATTTCCCATCAAATTCTTATCACATATCCAATACGGTCTGGAGCCTACATGTAAATTTAATTAACTCATTTATGCAACAACCTTCAATGCATCCCACCAAGCCATACATTCTCTTCCTGAAATGAATTTGACCCTAAAAATAATTTCTCCCTTTCCAAAAAATCTGAGATGAAAAGTTCAAAATTCCATGCCATTTCAAACTCTAATAGCTCCGGCAACTCCCAGCTCTACCTCTTCTTCTCCTTCCTTCATGAGAGCATACCTTCTTAACTTCTCCTCGAACAAGACCAGAGGGCCCTTCTCTATCAAGGTCCCATCCTTATTATAAGCATCTCTCAAGAAAACAGCCCAGTTCATCTCCGTCCCAGCCAAGTAAAATGCCCGCGGCTGCTTCAAGAGCATATGGTAAGTATGCCTCGTAAGACCAAACTCCTCTTTGAACTCCACTATATGATGAATATACGCCCTTTTCTCCACCGTCAAACTCAAAAACTCATGAATCACCCCAACCCTATACTTCTCCGCTTCCACTGTCCATGGCTTCAGCTCAGAGCCGACAGTATATGGTGAGATCAAAGGCAGCGTCGTCAAAGAATTCATCCTTCTCTCATCATCCTCATCTAAACCTAAATGCTTCCCGTGAGGAATGGCAAATTTGAAGGTTCGACGAACACGGTGCTCATCCGCAACGCAGTCGCGTTCGAGCGCGCTGACGGCAAGAGCCGGGTCCCATTCAATGAGCTCGAGAACGTGACGGCCGTCGGGATCTACAGCGACTCGGAAGAAGTCAGTGTACTTCCGAACACGGTCGCGGAAGTCGTCGGGAAGGCCAAGAACGTGGCGGCAGTGATGGAGCTTAGCAAGGGGGATACGGCGACCGGAAGAGATCATGAGAAGCTTGCGAATCACAGTGACGCGATCTTCTTCAGAAGCATTGAATATGGATTTCTCCTCCGATAGGAGGGATTCCATTAGGGGAGTGAAGGAGAGGTGAGGGGGTCCATAGGGCGAGGGGTGTGGGAAGATGCGGAGAAGAAGGGGATGGCGAGCAGCGAATCGTGAGGGTTTGCGGCCGCGAGAGAAGCCGAGCTCGCGATGAAGCTTGCCGGCGGCGGATAGAGAGATGAGGTGCAGGGGTTGATGGGAGAGAAAGCAACGGGTGCGTGATATAAACCGGAAGAGGGAGTCGCGGTGGATGATAGCATCGAGGGATGGAAGAGGGCGCGGAGTGGATGAAGCGATGGGTTTGACGCGGGGACTGGAGAGCTTTTTGCGGAGTTTCTTCCGGCGTTTGCAGTTGAATAGTGGAAGAATGGAGGAAGGTGAGAAGGAATTGCAGTTGCGAGTAGAGTTTGCGTTTGTGCTAGAGAATAATGGGGGAAAAGAAGGTTTGCTCATCGATATGAGACGGTATGCCATGGCTTATTAGGGTTTTACGTTCGGGTTTCTCCTAGGTGAAGATGGAAGAGAAGCAAGATTTTCAGTCTTTTATACATTATATAAATTAGTATCATTGTCATAAAAATATTAGGCTTTGAAATGTATTTAGTTGCTAATGTGTTTGATCACATAAAATGTCCTTCAATAATTTTATTAGGAGAGTAGATGTATTACATTCTCTGAGATTTAGGGTAGTTGGTGGGTTAGCACAGTTAGAAAGCCCCCATCCTGAGTCGAATCCCCTCTAGTATGACTTCGTCTCTTCAGTGGTGCAAAACAAGTGTGGGTTCAATGCCGATGGATGGCCTCGCTAGGTTTCGCCGAGGACTCGCTAGTTTTCGCCGAGTAATTAGTTATGCCGCCAAACATTCCATTTGGAGTGGCAGCAGGTAGAGACCCGTTTCCAAAAAATGGATGTATATATATTAAGAAAATTATACTTTAGTTTAAAATTTTTTTATTAGAAAATATTAAAAATATTTTTTATTAGATTTTAATAAAAAAAATTAATTTTTAATAAGACACAATGAAGAAAAATGATTCATATAACCAACCTATCTAGTTGAAAAATATCATTATTTTTTTATTAGATGCATGCATGCAATCAAAATGAGTGAGCTCAATGAGATGAATCTAACAAGTAGAAAATCACTCAATTTTGGTGTAAATAAACACTTAAGTGCCAAAAAAATTTCAATTGATAGAACCAATAATGGCCGTCCAATGAAATATTTTTAAGAGGCTATAGCGATAATTTTGTATAATATATAATGTACCATTTTTCATTTTCTAATGCATTTGTAAGGCAATTATAAGATTAGAGATAATTGTCTTAGATGATTTGATCATATAAAATAATGGCCTTCTAAAGATTCGTTAGGTCATCTCCAATGGAACGACAAACAATTGTTTGTCGTTCTTCCGTAGCTCCAACTGAGCGGCAATTTTGTCGCTATTTCTTCACGGGTTGGTGTCGCACTGTTCACCTGCTAATTTATTATGTGTCAACGAGATTTTCCCACGAAATGGAGAAAGACGGTTACGAGACAACGAAGCCCGCGAAATGGAGTTTGATTTGAGCAGAATTACCGCATTTTAGAATTTTGCTGTATTTTGCAGTGGAAAATGGGGTTTTTGGTTGGAGATGCCCTTAGGAGAGTAGATGAATTAAATCAGATTTATATAAAAAAAAAACAGAGTTAGACTTACAAAATTTAAAAAAATATAAGAAATATATTTTTTATTAGATTTAAATAAAAAATTGATTATAAAGAAAAATAATTCATAAAAGTATTACAATTGAAGTGGAATCAAAATAAAAAAAATCAAAACGGATGCTTAAATTTTCCGGTTCGACCAGCGGACCGAAGTCAGCGCGGATCCAACTCACAGCGATCCACCTTCGAGTTCCAGCCACCGCTTTCCTTCCCTCCTCGTCGATAGAGTTACGCCGGCATGGTGGCGGAGCTAATTCCAGTCGTCGATCTGCGCTTCCTTTCCCAGTCAGAGCTTGCCACGCTCGCGCTCTCGTCTCCCAATGCCTTCGATCTTCGTCGTTGCGACGACGTCGTAGTACCCAAAATCGATCGTTCCGTCTTCAACGAGAGTGCTGGAAGCCGCAAACAAACCTACTCCCGTCTGCGCCTCGCCCCTCCCAAGGCAGACTCCCCATCCCTTCCTCCCTCCCTTCCCCGCCGTCGCGGCCGACCTCGCTCCATACCCCTGCACACCGCTGCCGCCGCTACCCCCTCCGCATCTGCACCTCCAGCATCTGAAGACAATCCAAAGGATCCCGATTTCCGTGAGAATCTTCTCATTGCGTCTTACCTTCGCCAACTTTTCTCTCGCGAGGACCCATCATCCCAAACCCTAACCCTAAACAAAGCCGTGTCAACCGTCTGCACGAACGAAAACAATGACGGGTGGGAGAACATTCTTGCCGCAGCAGAGGAAGCGCAGAAGGCTTTGATTCTTGCGGAGGACCATGATCGGGAAACCTTGAATTCGAAGGGTGTGGCTGTTGATTTGGTGGCACTGGGTCAGATGGAGGATCCTTTTGGAGAGGAGCTGCGAAGGAGGACACTGGGATTGAAGACGGAGGAGCATCTACTCGGGTTTCTTTCAGGTGTGGAGGGGCAATGGGGGAGTAGGAGGAAGAGGAGGAGGTTTGTGGATGCTTCTCTGTTCGGGGACGTGCTACCAAGGTCTTGGAAGCTCCTGCTGGGACTCAAAAGGAAGGAGGGCGTTGCGTGGTTGGATTGCCGGAGATATGTTAGGTTTGCTGATTTATATCTTTTATTAGTTTGTTAACATTTTGATGTTCTGGGAAATATATGAGACGTTCATCTCCCCGTAAGAAATGTGTCCTCTTTCGTTTGTGCGCTTGATTCTACGGTATTGGCAAGACAAGGTTCTTCTACATAATGGTGGTCTTACAGTTTTGCTTTAACAGTTTTGCAACAATAATTTCATTTCCAAATGAAGCTGACTATCGTACATTATTCCTTGCTTGAGTTGCTTTGGATTTGTCACCCATAGTGAAGATTTTATTTACATGGTTGTTAAATTTTGTTCTTGGATGACTTGAAATGTAATCATTTTTGCTCAAGCAAGGAGAATACATGAGCACATATCATTAAGGTTAAATTGTGTTATAGTTGAATTATTTATAGCTTCAGATGCATCAAGCATAAAAAATGATGGTGCATGTTAAAGGGTTTAAGGAAATTTTTATATTATAGCTTCACAAAGAGTCATTTGATAGGAAAAGTTCTTGACTGGAATATTGTAAGATCTTGGTGCATCATTTCCTGGAATGTCATAGGCTTGCCAAACATTTAATTTTTAATCTTTCTTATTTGAGCTTAGACCCGGTAATGACAGTTTGAAATGCTTAAATACCTTCCTATACAAATTTAATGGTGCTAATCAAGGAAATAATTAAATAATATAATCAATATTCTATTAAGAAAAACTGAAGATGGTTTAATAAAGCAACAATGTCTCATTATGCCTCACGCACTCCGGCATTGAAGTGATAAATCATTCATGGTTTCAAGTGAGAGTTTTATTTCCACGGATAGTTGGATGGTTAATGATTTGATTCTTGTAAATAATCTTTGTTTGCATTTCTAACTTGGTATTCAATACTTATTACATTTTCCATTCTGCCACGCGGTGCTTGTCGGACCAATTGAGCTCACACAACTTATGCATGTGCAGGGAGCATCGCTCTCATTTTATACAGGTTGTTGCAACCTTGCCTTACGTGTCTTCTTTGTGGGTTGTAAAAGCAAGAAAATGATATATAAACATGGTCTTAATTACATTTATGTTCCTAATTTCTTGTAAATCTTCTGTGTAGTAGTCCATCTAACTTGCACTTTTTTTGTCACAACATTTGATTAACCATAGCAAATGGCCATTTGTTCCCTCCCTGGCATGGGCTATAGTAATCTGATATAAGCTTATTTTCACTTGTTAATTGTTTATTATTTGCTTTAACACCGTCATCCCTTAGCTTCGTTTACTCTCTGCTTGTCATTTATTATCTTATGATGTTTGTACTTGGTTGTAGACTCTTTAATTATCATATTATGAATACGATTTACATTCATAATTTGTTCCTCATTCAGTGTCTCTTAATTCCAACATCTGATATGTTTTCTTGTGCAAAATGTTGGGCAAGTTTTGTATATTGTTGTATACTGTTGTTAGATTATCTTTTGATTAGTCATGATTTTTTTTCTTCTTCACCTTTTAGTCCAAATGGGCACCAATTCTTGTCTTGCAAAGAGGTTTCTTCATATATACTCTCTCTTCAAGGTGCGATGCCACCAATTTATGATCAAGATGATAATAATGCCCCTCAGTTTGACAAAGTACTTCATGAATCTGTAGGTATTTTTGAAAGCTCTATTTTCTTTTTGAAATTTATGCTACTTCCTCTTCATTCTATATAAGAAATATGCAATAGAATGCAGGTCAAATTCATCAAAGTTCCAATGGAAGCTCTAGTTTCTCTTCTCCTACACCTACTTCACATGTTTCTGGTAACCAAGAGAAACAACCAGAAGGCACTAGTTGCTATAATGCTACTCCAATTTCCTATATTTCTTGTGATAATGGGAAGCAGCAGTTTTTATCATCCCAACAGAGGAGGGCCAAAAGACGCAAGCTTGGTAAAGCAATTGTTGATGGTGTGATCCTAAGAGATGGGAAGTTTGAGTGTCAATTTTGCCATAAGACTTTTAGCGAGAGACACCGCTATAATGGTCATATCGGCGCTCATGTTAGATACCAAGGGATAACGGCAGAGGCATTAGTTGATGAAAGTAGTGCAAGGAAAATCACAGATCATTCTTCTTGGGCTGTGGTGCCATATACCTCATCTGATAAGGACGTTTCTACCATGAAAACTGATGCTAGTCATACCATTCAATGCATAAAACCGCAGAATAGTCCGCAGGCCGCGGGAGACCAAGCTGAAATTTCCACTGCCAAATCTACTGATGGTGGTCATTTAAAAGGGATTATCGAAGAAGGGATTGCCACAGAAAGTAAATGTAATGGTTGCGCAGATAGCACATTCCCTTCTGCCAGTGATTTGAATGCTACCCCTCACGACTGCTCTCCCATGACAACTAAAGAATCATCTCCCATCAAACCTATCGATAGTGAGGTTAGTGATTGTGTCATGGTTTGCAATAATACCAGTCCTATTCATGATGAAAAAAGCTTTGAAGAAGCAAGACTTAATACATCCTCAGATGCTGTGCCTTTATTCTCCCCTCATCCACTTGCAGAAAATCGTAAAGCAACAGATGTTACTCCGTTTTCTTCCACCATTTCCCAGTCTTTCAATGTGTCCCCAGTTCCAACTGACTTAGATGATGCACTTTGCAATTTGAATAACGAAATAGATATTCATTCCTCTGTTAGCAAGACTAAAGATGCAGCTTCTCCAGATCTGGCAAATTTAGGTGCTGCATCTTGTAATGCTGATGAGGCGCTTAATTTTCCATCTATTGGTAAAACTTTTGATGGTTTATCTTTGGCTGCATTGGATGCTGATAATATCGTTCGTGAAACTATTAATGACAGCGGTCTCCCTTTAATCCCAAGTAAAGTTGAAGTTCTTGAGAAAAGTGACTGCAATTCAATCAATTACACAGCCCATAATTCTGTGTGTACAAGTGACTATATGGATGCAGATAACAATACTTGCTATGACTTATCTCTGTCTCTTATGGATATGGATGTGAAGACCAAGGATAAGCATAATGGAATAAATCCTACTGGCAATTTGACTTCTGAATTTGAAAATTATAATGATAAGCTCTTGGTGGAAATTGAAAATCATTCGTTCTCCTTGTCTGGCAATCAGCCAAACAATGAATGTAATTATAAACCAAGAGAAGGGCAAGATGCTAATGAATATCTTCATCAGCTTTTTGAAAAAGATGCTGTTTTGGAGAATAGCATGCCTGGTACACTTCAGAATGGCTCTACTTTCACTTCTTTCAGTAGTGAACTGATACGGGATATTGGTGCAAATACAGATTGTCCCTTCGGTACCGACATAAATGAATGTGATCTTCAAGAAATTGCTAAGCCTATTAACGAGCTGGAGTTTTTTTTTGGTGGGAGCAACTCAGCGAATGAAGGGAATGCTGCCAATGAGTTGATTGAAAATGATGCAGAAAGTAAATCCGTTCATATCAGTTTGTCTAATTCATCTTGGTTGAGATCGGCCAATGTTCTTCCTGTCCTTGATATGCTACCTGACCAGGTAATACTGTTTAGACATTGTCTATATAGTTGAAGAAAGCAACAGTGAAGTGTTACCTATATTCATGCAAGTACAGAGTTACTACTTCATCAACTAAAAAAATGAAATAATTAGTTATTTGCTATTTCCAACTGATTTTAGAAATGCAATCAAGTTGATACAGGATATTCTATGGTCTAGAATAGCTTGCAATGTAGATTTATATGCAATAAACCGTGCAGCAAACATATAAATTGTGGGAAAGCATGCTATTAGTCTTTCTACTTAAATTAAAAAAAAAAAGTTTAAAAACCCATTTTATCGGAAAAAGGACTTTTTAATATAAATTAATAATAAAGGTTTAAATGTTATGAAAGTCATTCAAACAATTGAAATTTCATGTATATAAGAGAAACTACCTTGTAAATAACTTAAGAGGAAAGAGATGAAAGAGAGTGGGAAATGAGGAAATCAAAAGAAGAGAATAGGCAAGTCACGTTTTTGTTCAAGGATATTGTCTCTCCTTGAATGCTTTAACCTTCCACTACATTTAGGCCTAGGATTCCTGAAGATGAAGACTGATTTGCATTTCAAAAATAATCTTTTTACTAAACTGATGTAGGCAAAAAAATTTCAATTTAATTCTTCGGGCATTTATTGGTGGGCTGTTTTTTCTTCTATTGGGCTTGACCCATTTATCCTTGGCTGCTTGGTGTTTGGAGGTCTCGACTGATGGCTTTCTTGGCTGTTGGGATGCTTGGCTCCTCGATTCCTAGGCTGGCCGTGCATTTCCCTTGGTGTCTGTTGGGTTTTCTGGCTGTTTGGTTCCTGGGCTAGTTGTTGGGTTGCTTGGATGCTCTGTTCCTGGGTTGGCCATGCCTTGTTCTTTGGGTTTTTTCCCTGTTTTGATTAGATGCTTGGGTGGCACTTGTCAGATGTTGTTTGGTTTCCTTTTTCCTATTTAAGGGGGATGTTTGGTGCTGTTTTAAGGGAGATTAGTGTTGAATTTTTGAAATGTGAAACCCGTGGGTTTTGAATAGTGGCATTGAAGTGAAGATGGTATGATCTTTGTCAAAGATGACAAAGATGAATGCATCATGGAATGATGATTTTTTTTTTTGTATAAGCTAAGCAATGATTTTTACAAGAAATCTAAACCACATGTTTGCCATCTGCTTGTCTATATTCACACTAACAAACACACTCGCACACAAAAACCCAAAAAAATTGCCAATTCATAATTCTGCATCTATTTCAAATCCTTGGCAGTGTGGGGGCGAGCTCGGCGAAATTAACCAAAAGAATGAAAACTTACAAGCTTTCGAGGAGTTGCGGCTGGGTAGTATTGAACCTTCTGATTTTGCCCTCTTTACTGGTCAAGATTCTAGAACTGTAGTTGAGCCATCCATATCGTTGGGTTATTCTTCTGAACTGGAAGATCAGAATTGCTCTTCTTTTCAGCTTGGATGGAACATATCTTTGGGTAACATGGACAACACGAACAGCTTCACATGTGTCTGTGTGTGGTGCAGTGCAGAGTTTACACACGAACATGACAATGATGAACCTCGTGCAGAAACCCTCGGCTTCATTTGCACGTCTTGCAAGGCAAAATTCTCTGGGCCATGAAGTACTATAAATGAGATGGACATTTACAGTCTGGTGATGATTTCCTGCTTGAAGCTTGCTGATTTATGAAAATCTTTCTCATGATCTGATACTTCTGAACCTGTAAATTGCAACAAAACTGAAGCTTGGAAATGCTTCATTTTAGAGAGAGAGTCATGCTGAATTCACCTGAAATCTTCTTGGTAAGCACTATACATATCGCCTATCTGCATTGGTTAGATGGTTCTGAATTCTGTAAATCATATTAGAAGTTTTAATGATTTCATCCATCTCTCCACAAGCTCATATTGTGATGAAAATATTTTTTCTGTTCGAAGAGAATTTCTATAATTTTAGTGAAAGTTTTTTTTCTTTTTTTTCTCTTGTAAGAGAATTTCTAAACCAGTTAACTTCTCTATACATGTTTTAGGCTTCGTTTGGGACCCCTTTCTTACTGTTTCTTAAAATAACTTTTTAGTATAAAGTTAGCTTTTGAATTAGAAAATTGTTTCAAGAAACAATAAAGAAGCCGTCACAAACGAAGCCTAAGCTGTTTGTCAAACCCCAGCAACTAACATGACCTTAATGTGGTGGTTCATGTTTGCTATCAGTGTCCTTAGTGCAAATCTGGCTTAATTGTTTTATAGCTAAACGTTATTTCTCTCCATAAACCATAACGTCAACATTATTCAAAATTTTTCTGATGTTCTATTTCTTATGCAAAAAAGAAAGAGAAAAGAAGCAGGTAACAGGTGATTTTTCTGAAGCATTTTGTTTTGGATGGTTCATGACAGCACATGATGATGAGAAGGGCTCTCTTCAATCAACATTCTCATTTGTGAATCTCTCATCTCATCTTGTATTTATTATTTATTGATTATAAGAGACCTTGAAATTTATTTCCAATGAAAGGTTTTTTTTTTTTTTGACAGGGGGAGGTGTTTGAGATTATTTGATTTTTTATTTTTTTGTTATTTCTGAATTTTTTTATGATGGGCAGTTGAAGCAATAAATATTTGGAGGATTTATTATATGTGTGTAATTTTTAATTTAGGTTTCATTTGGGATAGTTTTACACAACTATATTTTTCCTATTTTCAAAAGATTTTTAAATTAAAAAGTAGCTTTACAAAACAGTAAAAAGCTGTCCCAAATGAAGGCTTCGTTTGGGACGGCTTTCTTCTTGCTTTTTAAAATTATTTTTTATTACAAAAATTAAAATTTTTGTACTAGAAAGCCGCTTTAAGAAGCAGTAAGAAAGCCGTCCCAAACGAAGCTGAAGTCTAAGGCTTCATTTGTGACTGTTTTTGGCTGCTTTCTAAAATAACTTTCTAGAACAAAAATTTCTTGAATTAGAAGATTTTATATTAGAAAGTTGTTTTAGGAAGTAGTACGAAAGCTGTCCATACCGAAGCCTTAGATTTTCTGAAATAAATTAATAAAGACTTATTACTCGACAAAATTCATATTGCAATTACAGGAATAACTAACAAATGTATAATGCTGCAACGTTTATACAGTCTTGAATCTTTTATTTAAAAAGGGAAAAAAAGCATTAGGGGCTTACAGGAAAATCGTGAATATATTAACTCAAATAATATTTAATTTGCAAAAAAGGATTATAATTATTATTTATAATAAAAAATATGATATTTTTTGTTATAAATATCATACCGTATTTATAAAATTACTCGTAATTTTTATTAGGGAAATTTACATACATACCATTTTATAACATCATATTTACATATCTAACACTTAAAACTTTAATATTACATTCATACCACCTTATATTATTTTAATATCAAATATACCACTTATATTTTTTTCCTACCACTCATATATTTTATTTCTACCACTCATATTTTGTATGAAAATGAACTATGGGTGATATTTATGTAATATTAAAGTTTTAGATGTTAAATATGTAAATAGAATAGTATTAAAGAAAGTTACCTTGCAGAGCGAGCAATCTACCGTCGTTGCTTCCGATAAACCTAAAGTTCCGTGAGAAAAATTTGAACGTCGTTGAAGGAGCGAAGTCGAGCAACAACGAAGGAGCAAGAGGTAGGAAATTCGCTTGCAGCTAGGAGGTTACGCGGAAAATGCCGAAATGGATGGTTCGGTTTCCTGAATCGATCGGGGGCAGACTGCCTTGTTAGGGCTTTTTATTATGAATTGAGCGTGATTCCAGATTCGATGGGCATCAGCCTGTCTTGTTCGGGAGTCCGGATGAAAGAGCTAAAAAAAACGACGATAGTTTTTTTGTCTTGCCATTTGAAGAAGACGAACGTTTCGTTGTCGACGTGAGAACGTGGAGGGCTAATTCCGACATTTCATGAGTGAAACTGTGTTTTTTGAACGAATAAGCAGACAGGGAAAAGATTTTGTAACCACTCAAAAAACGTGGTTTTATAAAAATTGATTACGGTTAATTTTTTCTTCCAAACAGTTACTACAAACTGATTAAAGCTTATTCAAATGGAAAAGGAGAAAATAAACTTAATAAAACGAGCCCGAAATCTTCACCGTTAATTTTCCTTAATATGTAAGAAAAGTGCAAGTTTGATTAAGAATCTATTCAAACAAATGTAATGCAGATAGTGCAGCAGTTTCAAAATACATCATTACCATTTAAATTGGCTAATAATAGAGCTGATTAATATTTCGTTTGACATAGCTTTTTTATGACTTTCAAAAGCAATTTTTTAACATAAAAATTTTTATGAAAGCAGCAAAAAAGAATAGCCAAAAGCTCCCCCAAACGGAGTCTTACTCTTCTAGGCCCACAAATATTGGAGTATAAGGGAAGAACTTATAGGTGCTGTTAAATTGAAGATCCGTGAGGGTAAATTGACGATCTGGAAAGGAAGGCATTGCTCTTCTGCGAGTTTTCTCCTCTCTCGTGCGAAGCTGATTCGTAGTATTTTACTCGAGAGGTTTTGTAACCCGCTCAATTTGAGCGGGTTTTGAAGTCACGCTAACTACCCGTCGCAATACACCGGTTATGCTTCCGAGGAATTACTTTCCTTCCGCTCAAACCCAACCAAACGACGTAATTTATAAAATGCATGTAAATTAAATACTTTACTCTCCTAATTCTGCATACCAAACAGCCCCTTAGTGAAACTAAAGGGTCGCTTTATTTGACTTTTTTCTTCAATAAATGAGGTTAGGCACATTCTTATGTGATTTCAAATCAAAACATATTTGGAACAGACTTAAACCGAAATAAATAGAATTCGAGAATAGTTTAATTATGAAATTGAACAGAAATGAGAAATGCTTAGATTTTTATTAAAAAGAAAAAACTAGAGCTATGATCCTGTATTTAAAATATAAATAACCAGTAGTTACTTCTTATTTACTCAGGCTTTTGTTAGAGACTGTTTTTCTTACTTCTTTTAGAAATAAATTTCTAAAACAAAATTTTGGAAATTTTATATTAGAAAAATATTTTTGAAAACAGCAAGAAAGTCATCTTAAACAAACTCTTAGGCTTTGTTTGGGACATCTTTTTTATTGCTTCTTAAAGCAATTTTTAGTACAAAAACTAAATTTTTGTACTAAAATGTTGTTTTAAGAAGCAGTGAGAAAGTTGTCCCTAGTGAAATCTTAGACTTCGTTTCGAACAGCTTTCTAAAGCAACTTTCTAATATAAAAATTTCTAATTCATAAAATTTTTGTACTAAAAATCTATTTTAGAAAGTAATAAAAAAACTGTCGTAAATAAAATCTAAATAATTCATCATTAAATTGAATATGGAAGAATAAACAAAAATTAGTGAATAGTATTGGATTAATGAAATGTTCTTATAAAATAGACATAGAGCAAACATTTGTTGAGAAATGAGCTTAATGTATTAGTTATTTGCTAAATAATTTTGGGTTATTATTTTTGAACTGAATTGAAACAAGTCAAATCAATCAAAGTTTTTTTTTTTCTTTTTTTTTTTGGGAACAGGCTATTCACCCGCTGCCACCCTCGAAAAGATTTGGTGGCGTGACTAATCCTCGACTGACCTGGAAGATGCACCCTCCCCAGAAACCTCCTGACCCGCACTTGGTTGAACCCCGCTTAAGAGATGCCTGTCACGACCCAACCCGATCGGGACGGATCCCGCTCGCATCTGGCCGCGACACAACTGTCGAAAATCCAAGATCTAGCTTTGGAATTTGTTTCAGACTTTCTTCCAAGTATTAAACAGTCAGAAAAATACAGAGCTACTATAAACATCCAAATGCATAACGGTTCATCTATCTTTTCTTTCCTCAAAATAATCATATACAATATAGTCCATGGCTTCAGACAGAAAGAACAGAACAGAAAAGTCATGACTGCACAAAAATCAAAAGTATCAAGTACCTGATCACAGATCAGACTCAGAACGTCTAGTCCAAGACCTCCTTCCCTTTCCCAGAACCTGAAAACCACGCAGAAAATTAGGATGAGCTAACAGCTCAGCAAGACATCAATCACCAATCAAAATAATCAGAAACTCGCATCAGAAAACATATCAGAAAAGTATCCGTACAGAATTCGAACAATCGTACCGGAATCGTATAACAGACAGAACAGATAACAGCTCAATCGGAAATCAAACATCGGATACGGAAACTGAAATCATTTCAAATCAGAGTTCATAACAGATATCATAAAGCTTTCATGTCACAGAGCAGACAGAATCGTACGGAATAACCATAATCGTACATAAATCAGAAATCATATATCGGATAATTCATAAAACAGACCAGATAAGTCACAGAACAGATTATCAGATATCAAACATTAGATTCCCTGACCCTGACAGAATCTCAACGGATTCTGGCCCCTTATTCCTCCCTTCCCAGACACTGACAGAATCTCAACGGATTCTGATCCCTTATGCCTCCCTTTGTGCTTATAGCACCAGAACAGAACAGAACAGATATTCGGAATTCCGGAACATAACTTATTTTTAGATTTCATAGCTCTTTTCAGATTTCCCTGACACAGACAGAATCTCAAAGGATCTTGGCCCCTTATAACTCCCTTCTGATAGCATACAAACAATTCAATTCATTCAATGTATCAATTCAGAAAAATCAGAATTCATACGAAAAATCAGCGGCATAACGGCAGTATACGGAATTTACATAAAACTCACAGATTCAGAAATTTACCAAATTACCACAGAATATCCACAACAACATTATAAGACTTTTACTGTACTGACATAACATTTTTCAACATCCTGATAATTTGCAATTCAATTAAAACACCGCGGAATCCAAAAATATCCGGTAAAAATCTTCCAGAAAATACTCAAAACGTGCACAATTATCATCTGAAAAACATACCAAAAGTTATGTTGTAAAACTTGAAGCAGTAGAAAATAACACACGAAATTCGCTAACGGAAACAAAATCCGGAACAGTAAAGTCGTCAAAATCCACGTTTCTGAAAATTGAGAAAGGCGGGATGTGTCTTATCTCGAGTCGGTCAACTTCCCTAACTACAGCAACGGACGAAAACGGACCGGAGTCGCCAAAAAATCCTCTTTTCCTTCTTTTTTCTCTCTCTTGGACGTCCTTTCTTTTTCCAAAAAGATCTCATTCCTATATATATCCAAACGGATCGTCCCGGACGATCGCAACTTCGTCCCGGGACGATTTAGGTTCTGGACGAATTTCGTCCAGACGATCCAGGTTTTGTCCTGGGACGAACCATTTAACCAGAAATTTTCTTCACAACCTGTACCGATCGTCCCGGACGATACAACTTCGTCTGGACGAACCTGAGAGGAAAAATGGTCTTTACAATGCTGCCGCTCGAGAGAAATAGAGCACTGGTTGGAGGACCAACCAAGCTAAGCAACTGAGTAAAGTGTTTAACTTGAGTGGAAATTCAGATTAAAATTATGTTAAAATGAGTAAAATATTTTGTAAGTTAGATTGATGGATCCTTTTTTAGTGCACGACTTATAAGTTTTTTTTTTTTGGAAGGTCAGGGCTTCAAACATGAAAATTATTATGTCATGTTATCTGATAGAGAGATACATCATGATTTCTCTCTGTCTACTGTAAAAACTCAGCCAAAGCACAGTTACTATAGCAATTACATTTTAACTGCGCTTTAATCTTAGACAGAGAGAAATCCGAATGTATCTCTTTAAGAGGTGACCAGACCTAATAATTTTCTCTTCGAACGTGGAACTTTTATTAGGTCAGGACACCTGACGTAGCTCCATATCCGGACACCAATAAAACGTCGCCACGTGCTCTTATTCTTTACCGCGCGTCCCGACTACCCGTCCCGAACCGAAACCCAGTATTGTTATGTATTAGCTGATTTGTGCATACCAATGTATTGCTAGGTATTGCTCGGTAACAAGAAATACCATTATGTCAAAACCAATACCGAGCAATACCTCGGTTTTGCTAGGTATTGCTCGGTATTGGTAGGTATTGCTCGGTATTCCTCGGTATTGGTATTGAAAGAACGGTATTTTTTATTATTGCCAAGCAATACTTAGCAATACCGAGCAATACCTTGCAATACACGAACATAGCAATACCGGGTTCCTGTCTGGATCGGGTCGTCGGGCCGCACAGTAAAAAATAAGATTACGTGACAATATTTTATTGACGTTCAGATCTAGAGCTAAGTCAGGTGTCCTGACCTGATAAAAGTTCTGGAACGTGAGCCTCACCGGAAGGAATTCCTTCCCGTCAACCAACGGGGTTGCACGCGCTAGCTCGACGGCTTGTAAGTCATTGGGTCGCTTCGGCTGCGCACTTGCACGTACGGACGCTTGCTTTTAATAGTAATAGCTGATTGACTCGCCTTCAGTCATCTGTTCTCTCTCTCTCTCTGAACAGCGAGCCACAGAGGTATTACAGAAGGCTCTCCTCATTCAGTTCTAGTGCAAATCGATCCTTTAAGCCCATGTATTGAGGTAAATCCACCTCTCTCTCTCTCTCTCTCTCTCTGAACAGAGAGCCACACAGGTATTATAGAAAGCTTCTCTCACTCAGTTGTAGAGGAAATCGATGTCATTTAGCCCATGTATTGCGATGCACCATCTCTCTTTCTCTCTCTTCCTTTGTGTGTGTGTGAGTTATGTGTTCCTAATACTTATGTTGTAATTTTTGGTAATTTGAACCATTCTACTGATTTTTAGACTTAGCTGTTTGGCATATATATGATGCAGCTTGCTTAAAGGAACTATATTTGTTTACTGAATCTCTAGTGATTGAAGCTAAGATTTACAGGTGAAAGTAGCTTAGTCATATATGCTTCTTGCTTCTTAAGTTCCACTAGATTTGCTAAGAAATGTTGTATTGAATATGGATTAAGTGTTCATATCTAATAGGGCCAAGCAAGAATTTTTTTTTTGTATTTGGAGCAGTTAGGAAATCTGGAAATTTTCTTAAGAAAGTAGCTGATATGGTTTAATCAGTCTTGTTTTGCTATTCTGAAGTGAGAGTAAACCCTGTGCCAGTCTAAATTCGATTAGAATGGAGCCTAGTACCATATTCTATTCATTTTATCTGTAAGCAGGTTTAGTCTCATTCTTGCAGTCATTTTTGTTTGTTTTCTTTCATTTCCTCTTTGGCATTTATGGAATGATCACCACAACGTGCATATGTAGGTGATTTTCTAGTTTTTTTTTTTTGTCAGGCTTCAAAACAGAAAATGAACGGTCTAAAGCTTTTCAGCTTGATCTTTGTGTTAACTTCTTTGCATCATACTACCGAAGCTGACAATGAAGGTGCTGATATTTTATTATCAACTTTATATTTATGTTTCTATGTTTAAATTTGAATGCATGCCGGCATGAATGTAATGTGCACCTTCATGAAATTTTTATTGTGAGATTTTCAAATCATGAGTATTTGGTGTTTCTTTATTATCCATACATTAGTTGTAAATCTATTCAGATGTTGTTGACCCTATTTGGGTGTGGAAACAAAACATTCATCTTGTAATACTCCAAGCTTTCATTCATCGAGAAATTATCTAACTTAAGTCAATAGGGCTCACAGTTTTATCTCTTTTAAGGAACTTCCCAAGATTGAGCACAACTAACATTGAACTTTCTTTTGAAACTCCAATTGTTCAATAAATAACACATCAATATTTAAGATTTATGTTTCCTTGTATTTGTTGGTCTCATTATCTACCCAACGTAAGTAACTGATATCTTCATTGGTGATCTTACACATGATCTAAAATGACACATTTTACAAATAGGATTTTAGAGGTTCCCCTACAAGTTCTAAGAGATGGATCCCACCATGAAATAATTTGTTTCAAATGCGTTTAAGAGCTTGTTCCCATGTTCTTGTACTTTGTCATACATATCACTTAGGTCCCATCTTTCCCTCATTGTATCACCTTGATACCATTTGTGATTGTCATTTTTTTCATATTTGGCATAACAAGCCTCATAATTTTGTTCTCTTGTTGCAACTCCTAAAGAGGTCACCCATGCCATGAGTGTTCTACTATGAGCATATTAAACATTGGAGTTTTCAACATGACTCTAACTATTACATTAAAAGATACCTTGATATTTAAGAGTTCTACTTCCCTAAACCTAAGGTGTTTCGCACCCATTTTCATGTTCATGTTATTAGTTTCATGCATTTTGCTTCATTCTTGTCATAACATATTAATCTTCTTATTTTATCAATCACTATTTTTTTTTTAAATGTCCAAGTGCTGCAATTTTTAAAAAAATGCTTTAGGAGTATTTTGCAATAAAAACAAATTGAAACCTGCATTTCTACCAATATGCTATGTAGATCCTAGTATTTATTGAAAAAGAAGTAGGTTTTAGATAATTTTAGTGTGATAAAAAATGAGAATGTTAAAATTTATGTATGATCAAACTAATATAAATAGACTAAGAATTGATTGTATTAGATGGGCAGTGATAGTAGCATTTTTTGAACATAAAATGCAGCAACAACAACAACAACATTAAGCCTTTATCCCACTACTTGGGATTGGCTAGATGAATCATTTTTTCTCCATTGTGTCATGTTTAGAATTGAATTCTCATTTAAAACTAATAAAGAAAATTTATTTCTAATATTTTCTAACCAAATCTTTTTAGGTCTACATCTACCTTTCTTAAAATAAATGAATTTAATACATCTACTCTCCTAACCGGTTAATTGGAAGGTCGTTGTTTATGTGACCAAACCATATAAGGCAACTCTCTCTAATCTTATCTTCCACTGAAGCTAATCCAAACTTTTCACATATATGCTCGTTTCGTATTGTCTCTAAAAGTAAATCCATTCATCCACCTGAGCATTCTCATCTCCGCAACACTAAACTTAATATTATGCTTCTCTTTTAATGGCCAACATTCTACGCCATAAAGCATTGTAGGTCTCACCACTATCTTAAAGAATTTTCCATTAAGTTTGAGAGGGACTTTTCTATCTCACAACAAGCCCGATACATTCCTCCACTTTAATTCTTCTAACTTGAATTCTACTAATAATACCCCCTTTTGAACATAAGATAATGAAAAATAAATTTAAATAGCTTGGGTATGTGCAAAGTTGAGTTGATAAAATTAAAACGTGGTGATTAGAAAGAAAAAAGGGGTAGAATAAAAGTAGGTTGGAAAGAAATTGTGCAAAAAAGAAAGTTTTACACCTGCAACACTGAATAAAAATAGATGAAAAATGTGGATTTATAAAGGTGGCCTACATAGGGATAATGCTAATGATGTTGATGATGATAACTTCACAAAGCTGCAAAACTATGTCACAAGCTCCCACCAAGGTTTTTTAAAGCAAAACCTCCCTGCATTGACATTGAAGTTCCTATTCACTTCAGATTCCCCCGAAAAAAATTAAAAAAAAAAAAGTAATGCAATATGAATAATAAAATTTGAAAGTAGATTAGATGCAAAGTTCGAGGAGATTTCGCCAAAATGTACACTGGTCCTGTTCCAATTATAACCTTTTTTTTTAATTCTTAATCCACAATGCTTTGCTTTGAAAGGGAGACTAAACAATGATATAAACTCCATTTAGTAAATATATTTTATTGAAATTAATACTCGTTTGCATGAATTTTTATTTTATCATTATTGTTTTAAGATACCAATAAGCTTGTTTCTAATTCAGGAGACGCATTGCTTGCTCTAAAACTAAGTCTTAATGCTTCTGAAATTCAACTATCAAGTTGGGCCCAACAGAACGTTGAAAAATGCACATGGGAAGCTGTGAATTGTGATAATAACAGTAATGTAGTTCGAGTGTAAGTTTTTTTTTTTTTTTTTTTTTCATTTTAATTTAACCACCAGTTCATTAAAATTTCTGAACCTGCTTCACTGGAATTCAATTTTGTTCAAAGCACAACCCACTAATCTGGTGAAAAATAATAAAAATAAATAAATAACTATGTTCTGTTTATTATTTTTGCAGGGAACTGTCTTCCATGAGATTTACAGGGGTATTGTCACCACGAATTGGAGAACTCAAGCATTTGGAAGCTTTGTAAGTGTAATACTCTTTGTGAGCTTACTTGAAAAGCAGATGTTTATAGTCTTTTTCTACTAAATCTTGTAAAATTTGTTGTAAATAATACTTTTTCAACAATTCCACATAACGATTTTCAGTTAAATTAACCTGATGGTGACGTTCTTTATATTTTTTTGGAAAACTGATAATATAACTGATCTCATTTCCTGCAGGTTCATAGGAAACAACAGCATTACTGGTGGAATACCAGCTGAATTTGGAAATTTGGCAAGTTTGAGAACTCTCAATTTGGAGAATAATCGTTTGAGTGGAAGCATACCTTCTTCCCTCGGCAGGTTGCAAAATCTCCAAACATTGTGAGCATCCTTTAACTTTAATAGTATGGAACAATGAACTAAACATACTAGCTATAGCAATATTTTATTGAACATTTTTTTAATTAAGGCGCTTGAGTCGAAATAATTTTGATGGAAGTATTCCAGATTCCTTGACAAATATCTCTATCTTATGCGATATGCAAGTAATTTTTTTCGTCTGTAATCATGCATTTTTTGTTTAGTTGCACGCAATTAAAAAAGTGTTCTTCATGCAACTGATTTTTTTTTTCTTTTGCATGTGCTTGGCAGAAGGTTGGCATTTAACAATTTGACTGGGAAAATACCAGAAAGATTATTTAACATTCCATCTTACAAGTACCCTCATCTCTCTCTCTCTCTATCTCTCTCTCTCTCTCTCTCTCTCTCTCTCTCTCTCTCTCTCTCTCTCTCTCTCTTCTCCCATTCTACAATTTTTTGGTGCAAGAATCAGCCTGTTTAAGATCATTGATATTTTTATGCAGTTTTACTGGCAACAAATTAAACTGTGGCCAAGGTTATCAGTACTTGTGTGCCTCTGTTCTGCTCAATCAAGGTAACCCATTATACTTGATGGTAATTCGAACTAAAATTAGAAGAATTTGATCATGAAGATCTAGCACCAAGACGATGTTTTTCTTTTTGGTTTGAAGGAAAATAGCTAAATTCTTTCTTCTGGATGCAGGAAGATCACATAATTTTAAGACTAGGTTGATTCTGGGAAGTATTGGAGGAGCAGTTAGCTTCCTTCTTACTGGAATTGTTTGCCTTCTCTGTATGACTAGAAGAAAATCTCGCAAACATGAAGTTTTTGTTGATGTTCCAGGTCCTTTTTCTCACTTCTATGTTAGACTGGATGCTCAATCTTTACATTCAGATCCAGATAATTTCCTTTATGCATTTGTATACTTGGATAAATTTTTTAATAAAAAATAGAAAAAAAAACTTGGATAAACAATGAAGTGCCTCTTTCTTCCTCTTTTTTAAAACCTTTAGTTTTGGCATCACAACATGCTAGATATTGGGATTTTGTGCAAAATAAATCGAATTTCTCGGTCTTGCTCTTAAGCACTAGTAACAAATCAACTTGGAAATGAGCGTTTTAAATGTCAAGTGTTGGAACCTAATGTTTGCCCACAAAGAAGTCCCATGTAGACTTAGGCTTGGTTTGGGACAACTTTCTTACTGTTTCTTAAAGAAGCTTTCTAGTACAAAAATTTTAATTTTTATACTTAAAAGTTACTTTAAGAAGCAATAAGAAAGTCATCCCAAACAAAGCATTAGTCGCTATGCAAATTGCACGCTTAGTCGTGTTTTGGGAATTTTATTATGTTTCAGTCGTCTTAAACTTTTCTTTATCAAAAGGAGGCATACCTGATAAATTAGAGTTGATTTTATTCGCAATTAAATCAGAATGAATTATTTAATCTCAAGAATATGATGTAGCCATTAATTGGGTGAACCTATATAAATATATTGTGTTTTTATGCACTTATTTTCTTTCTATTTTTTTCTTCCTTTTTTCTCCATGTTTAAATTAGATTTCACCTGTTTTCCAACATTTAAATGAGACAAAAATTAAGTTTTTAAATTTAACCATATGATTGAACAATGGCTTGGTGTGCCTACTTTAACTAGAATTAGAGATCTTTAGCTCTGATAACATTGTTGAACTTCGGGAACCAACCTACTAGAAAGCTCAAGTTACCATGTCTTGATATTCTGTACAAAATTCTGATGTCCTTTTTTTTTCATTTGAATTTTCAGGAGAAGATTATCGATTAATAGCATTAGATAAATTGAAAAGATTTACATGGCAAGAATTACAACAAGCAACCGAGAATTTTGCCGAGAAAAATGTTGTGGGACAGGGAGGTTATGGAAAAGTTTATAAAGGAGTGCTTCAGGGCAACATGAATATTGCAGTAAAGAGATTGAAAGATGGTCTGAGTTCATTTAATGAATCTTCCTACCTGCACGAGCTTGAGATGATAAGCATAGCTGTGCATCAAAATCTTTTGAGGTTGATTGGCTTTTGTACAACAGCCTCAGAAAGGCTCTTAGTTTATCCATTTATGCCCAATTTAAGTGTTGATTATCATTTAAGAGGTACATATCTTAAAGTGATATATTTTCCTGATAGTTTTGTAGTACTTGTAATAAGCTAAATATGTATTTGCATCATTTTTTTTAATTAATTCCCAAATCTTTCTAAGGCAAGTAACTTGTACATTTCAATTTTCTAGTGAACAGAGTTCAATATGTATTTGCTAGATATTTTACCAATAATATTAACTTTTTATGCAGCATGTATATATGTGTTTATATTGCAGTTCCTTTTCTCACAGCCTGGAGTAAGCTAATTATAGGTTTAGTTTGTTTTTTGCAACAAAATGATCCATCTTGTTTTATGTTTACGTGATTAAAGCTCAATGCTCATATATTCAATGCAGAGCTGAAGCCCGAAGATCCAGTTTTAGATTGGTCGACGAGAAAACGGGTGGCTCTTGGAACCGCTCGAGCTCTGTCATATCTTCATGAGAGTTGCAATCCGAAGATCATCCATCGTGATGTCAAAGCCGCGAATGTGCTTCTTGATGAGAACTTTGAGGCTGTAGTTGGAGACTTTGGCTTGGCAAAGCTGGTGGATATGAAGAAAACATCTGTAACTACTCAGATTCGTGGAACTCAAGGTCACATAGCGCCTGAATATATAGCCACAGGCAGGGCATCCGAGAAGACTGATGTTTTTGGTTATGGCATCATGCTTCTTGAGCTGGTCACTGGACAAAGTGCTATATGCTTTGAAGGAAGAGATGACTTGCTTCTGCTTGATCATGTAAGATTAATCAACTTTTACAAAGCAGTATTTTAATTTTGAAATCGCTGGACTGTCAACGTAGTAAGATTTAGAGAGTGTGTTTTGACAAAACATTTGTAGTTCTTAAACTATAACATATTTACAGGCGTGCAGTGCAACAACTATCATAATCTACTTTCATTATTAGGAGTCTACAGTTAATATGCAACGGAAGTTGGTGTTCTAGACAAGAAAAAGTTGGTGTTCTAGTGCCTTGATAAAAATATTTGCCACTTGTTAAGAACTAGAGACATGAGGGATAATAATTTCCTTGGAAAGTACATTAATAGGATTGTTGCGGGCTAAGAATATACGAGGTGATAGAGTTCGAATTTTTCTTCTCAGCGTTATACTGATATCCTACACATAAACAGGGAAAAAAAACACCATAATTTTTACGTTGAAAACCCTGGAAAAGGAAAAAACTACAGGGCCACGCCAAGTTGAAATAGTTCCACTAGTGTTTGAATAGATTACAAATTATTGATCCGTCCTATTGAGGATGATCAAATTACAACAATCAACCGTAGGGTTGAAATCTAATGACGAGTGGAGATCAGACAGAAATTTGGCACCGTTCGATGGTCGGGTGGACATCTGGCATCAGTTGGCGATCGTGCGAAAGTCCAGAATCAATCGGTGGTCGGGCAGAAATATGGTGTCAATCGTTGACCGGTTGGAAGTCCGACATCAGTCGAAGACCGGGCAAAAGTCTGGCGTCAATTGTTGATCGGTTGGAAGTCCGGCGTTAGTCGGAGACCGAGTAGAAGTCCTGCGCCAATCGGTGACAGGGTGAAAGTTCGGCATCAATCGAAGATCGGGCAGAAGTCTAGCGTCAACCGGTGGCCGATCGGAAATCCGACGTTTGTCGGTGACCGGATAGAAGTTCAGCTACAATTGGTGGTCAGGCGGAAGTACGGCGGTGGTGAAAGAGTCTGCTGGCAAGAGACCTCTAGTCTTCTCTCTCTCTCTCTCTTCCTTCTCTTTTTTGCTTTCAGTCTCATTTTCATGAGGAATGGGTGGTCTATTTATAATTTTTTGATAGTAGCATGGCTAGTAAATAGAATGGAGATCAAGGGTAAGTTGAGAGTGCTTTGAATGGACGGTCGATGTTGATGAAGAGTGAGTTGTGTAAGTTGAAAACTTCTAAACGAAGTTGTAAGCCCTATCCTAAACTAAGCCAACGGTTAACTTCCAATGGAGACCGTAAGCCCTTAACAAATTCAAACAACTGGACAACTTTTAAATTAAGTCATAAGCCCCAAACTAAATCAATTGTTAGGTATTCTAAAAGATGTAAACCCCAAACCACAATATATTTCCAACTTACATCTAACTACTTCAGTTTATTCAGGATCCCTGAGAGGAGGCAATGTATGGCTGCTAATCAGATTCTCTTGACACTAAAATAATGATTGCTAGTGTTAGTAGATTGAAACCTATGATATTCCCTGGATGACACAATCATGGGATCTTGATCAGGTCTACCTCCATCCCCCAACAAACAAGACTAAAACACCTAAAACTTTTCATCCTTAATCGAGAGTTCTCTCTTACATAATAAAATGAGTAATTAACTATGAGGGCTTGCGTTCATAAGAAGTAAGGGCTCAGATCTAACTAAACCCTGATACAATCTTTAGGAGAAATCTGGTTAACAATAACCTACCATAAGGAGAATGAAAACCTAAGTTTGCAAAGCGGGATTCATGCCAAAGCACCATTTTTCTTGAGCAAACAGGAGGTAGCCACTTCCCAGAGTTACACAAAGATGGTAGTCCATGTGTAGCCTTAGAGACCTATTTACATGTCTGCAATAGTCAAATCATATATTATTTATTATTTCTGTAAGTGTAGCATTTCCAACCCTACAAAGAAGGGGTGAAAAGACATGTTTGAGATATTTTTATGTTATTTCCACTATTCAAAGAGCATAGTGGATTCCAAAACTCTTCTCCTTACTCACTCTCCTCCTTTCCTTATGCTATCTATCTATCTAAACTGGCTTCTTGGGTCAAATTGTCACCCACAACAAAATTGGATCCAATGCTTTGAAAAAGAGGCATTCTTTTTTTACTATAGCCAAACTTAAACCCATGGAAGTGCTAAGGCGTTGGAAGAAGAAAAACTAGCAAAGAAATGGGAAGAGTGGCAGGAGCTTGTAGTAGCAAGAGCTGGCGAGTGCATGAGCTTGAGGCTGTAAAACACTTTATTTTGGCAATTTTGCAACAAATAAATGTTTGTGCATCTTCGTTGAAGTTAAATGAATTGACATGTTTACTCCCTATTCGAAATTGTTACAAATTCATCAATGCCAGATTACCTGATCATATACTTTGGATCATGAAAATTGAAAGCCAATAATAAAATAAATTGATAGTATGATAAATTTAAATACTTCGAATCTATTATATAGAAGAGTAGGATATATAACTTATAGAATTAAAATTGGCGGTTAAAACAGAGAAGTATTTGAAGGTTATTATATGATAATATCATGATGACTCAAATGATAAATTTTATAAAATTGTAATCTGGATGATAGTATTGTATGAATATAAGTATTGTTTCTGAGTTGTTACTGATTCAGTTTAGGAATTAATAAGCTTCAATGTATTTCTATTCAATTCCTACAAAATTTGACCATAAGAAGTCTGCCCCCCTTCATCTCTATTTTTGCTGCATTTATGATGATTGTAAATTGTGTTCTTCAATTCAAAGTTTTCTACCAAAAAATAATGTTAAATCCTTTTGACACTTTTAGGTGAGAAGAATGGAGAGGGAAAACCATCTTAATTCCATAGTGGACAGAAACCTGAGACAAAACTACAATCATGAGGAAGTGGAGATGATGATAAGGGTTGCTCTTCTCTGCACACAAACATCACCCAAGGTGCGACCTTCAATGTCCAAAGTGCTCCAGATGTTGGAAGGAGAAATGCTAGCAGAGAAATGGGAAGAATGGCAGGAGCTTGTAGTTGCTAGAGCTGGCAAGTGCAAGGATCATGAAAGCCAATAATAAGATAAGTTGATACTAAGTATGATAAATTTAATTGCTTTGAGTGTATTATATAGAAGAGTAGGATATTATGTGATAAACGATATCATGATGACTTAAAAAGATAAATTTTATAAATTTATAATCAAGATTATAGATGGTTTTGTATGAACCCGAGTATTGTTTAGCAAAAAGTTATTGATAGCCACACTGAGTATGCTAAAAATGAGAATGTTAAGTTCGATGTGTATTTGAGTTTATAGACCCCGTGATGCCTCTCAAAATAGAAGAAATATGTCATTATTTTATTTTTGAGGAACATATGCGTGAAAGTTCCCTTTAGACTAAAATGCTCTTAAATTTTGAAAAGATGTCTTAATTCATATAAGCAACCTTTCGCTCGATCCATCCTATACTTGGCGCCTTCTTCTTCTCTGACGATTCTCGTTTGCAAGTGATTGTTATGTGGCAAAGTTTTGATGTAATATTTACGTCTCTATTTTTGGCTAGTCAGCGGTTGTCATTGAAGGCTACTAATCAATATTATATGTTTACACCCTAAACCTAGAATGATATTAGATATGAGATTACTAGCTTCAAAACATTTGTTAAAACTTATTTTGACATTGATCAATACATGTTTGAAGCATTATCGAATATGCTTTGAAGCTTCAATTATGTGCTAAGTATAGTTCGATCAATGTCAAATTAAGTTTTGAGCAATGTTCAAAATAAAATTTGAATAATAGTTAAAGAAATTTCGATTGTTTTGAACAATAGTCAAATGTTCCATCACATGTTCAATCAAGCTTCGAGCAAATGTCAAGTTTATTATTTTTGCACTCATTTGAATTGTCTTGGTATGCATGGAGATGTATGCTCGAGTCATGTATAAATATTGGGGTGTGATGGAGAGAATTGTTAGGCAATTTGAATCATTTGAGACTAATAAAATCATTGTGTTGAATAAGAGAGAAGCACAAACATTTGAATACATAGATATCTCTTATATGTTTTTTTGTGGATGTATTGCTTCTTTCATTGGACATATCGCTGAAAATCAATGTGAAGTTTGATGGCTTGAAGTAACAATTAAAATTTGAAAATGTGTTTGCCTAATTTTGTTATAACTATTGTAATTATTTTAATGTTACTATACAACATTATAATTATTTTAATTTAAAGCTTCTAATTTATCATGGAATGTATTTGCCAAATTATTTTATAGATATTGTGATTGCATTCCACTATGTTATACTCTAGGGGTGTAAACGAGTAAATCCAAACTCGAGTTACACCTTACTCGAGCTCGAGCTCATGTCTAGCTTGTTTATTGAGCGCAAGTTAGACTGGTTATATGAAACTCCTTAAATAAAAGAAGATAAACTCTTAAACATCGAGGTATCTTTTAATGCAATGGTAGAAATTTCATTAAGAAACTCCGCAGTTAAGCTTGTTCATCCTGGAAAAATTTTGGGATGGGTGGTCTCCTAGTAAGTTACACCAATAGGATAAAATCGTCATGCTCTTAGGACAAAGCGGACAAAATCTTGATAGTTAAGAGTTTGAGTTGTTACAAATGATATCCGATCAATACACCTACTGAAAGATGAGAACTAAGTGACATATAAAACGAAGTGTTACATCATGGGAGCCTCTTCTAGAACACTATATGAGACAAAGTGCTATGTGACGTGAGTGACCACTTGAACTTGTAGGAGCCTCCAATAGAATCATATTTGTCTGGTGGATGATTCTGAGATAAGGATACTAACGATGACATCAATTACTTAAGTGAGGGAGATTGTGAAACTCCTTAAGTAAAAGAAGTTAAAGTCTGAAAGATTAGGCGCCTTTTGATGTAATGGCCTGAATTTCATTAAGAAACTCCGTAATTAAGCATGCTTATCCTAGAGAAATTATGGTCCTCCTGAAAAGTTACACTAATAGGACAAAATGGTGAGGCCCTTAGCCGAAAGTGGATGATATCTCAATAATTAAGAGTTTGGATTTTTATAGATTAATTCCATTTCGTCATAGAAGCTCATCAGCATCGGAGAAGCTCACCAGAGGTATTAATTGTAGTGGCATCTCACTGAGGTGAACAAAAGTCGTTTGCATGGAAGTTACGGTGAAGCTCAATGGAGAAGGTTTATACTGTGTAGGCGTGCCGCTCGATTTGCAAGGAAGAAAAAGACATAAATGAAGGAAATGGCAAGCTTGTGACAACTTGAATGATGAAATAACATAAAAAGCAACATCAATGAAGAAAACTACAGTTTCAAAAAAATTGACAAAAACTTTACTTGTATTGTTTTCAATTAAAAAAACTTAAAAAATACATTTAAACTCGGAAATGCATTTGATAATCAATTTTTTTTTTCTTTCAAATTTTAATATTTTTAATACATCAAATATAGCATTTTAAATTTTGTTTTTAAAAAATGTGAGCTAACTCCGAGTTGAGTTTTGCCAAATTCTAACTTGAGCTCATTTAACATTAGAGCTAGAATTTATGCTCGAGCTCGGGACTCGATAAGCTCTATTCACGAGCTTGTTAACGGGTCATGTTCGAATCGGCTCATGTACACACCTATTATATTGTATTATTTAATAAGTTCAAACCTTTTTAAAACATTAAATGAATCTAATAGAACTTGTAATTCAACTAATTTATAGATTTTTTTTAATGATATCTTATTCATACTTTATTCAAATCATATTCAAACATTAATCTTCTCATTTTTTTTAGTAAGAATAATTGATATTCAATTAGGTTTCAAAAATATATTCTATGATGAATCAAATTTTTACCGCATATAATCTCAACCTTGATTGAAATTTGTTTGAACCATATTGAAATGTTATTCGAATCACATTTAGTCAATGCACGCAAAAATAAAAGTAGTCAACAGTCTAGAGGAGGGATAATTTGGTCCCAAAAAAAAAAATTTCTGCCATATTTGCCCAAAAATCAAATGACTAATATATTTAATTTCTCTATCTTCTTTTGGAATATATTTTTCTAATTTCAAGTATCATTTGATATATAAACTCAATTTTTTCAATTATAAAAGATAAATTATCATAAGGTTATATTGAAAAAAATGCTTGGACTAATAGGAATTGAAGATAATGTAAAGATAATCTTATGTGGTTTAGGCATACATAGAGATGTGTAGAAATGCACATATTAGGATAGACAAAATTATTTTTTATGAGTTACTAAGCCAAATGGACAAACCTAAATTAATATTAATAGAAGTTTAAAACAACCTCTAAAGAATAAGTTTAATGCATTAGATAATAGCCCGTCCAAACAAATGAAATAATTGGGTTAACGATAATGACAACAATGATGATGATGACGATGATAATTAAAGACATCGAAGATGATGATGATACTTGAAAAATGTTCATATATATGTAGACTTATGCTATTTAATCTCATTATGAAGCTTGAAAATCGGCTGACTGTTTACAATCGTTATTCGATCGAAGTATGTTGATGCTCATTTATTGTGATACAAATTTGATTCGACTAAATAAAAAATCCAATTTTTTTTATATATATTTTTTTTAGAATTAGTTCATGCATTTTCAGCTTTACAATTAAAATCAAGTGCAAAGAATTGTAATAACTCAAATAGTTGAAAAAAAAAATATTTGAAAATATTAAAATTCTGAAGTATAACACTTTGGCGTTGATATGGTAAGCGCTATGCGGCCCTACGCCTTGAATAATATTTCTTCCAATATAAATCCTAAAGTGTAAGAAGAACCTTCACAAACATTTAAAATAATAATAATAAATACTTACAAACATTTGTGCCATTCCTTAAAGTAATATTTTTCAAAATAAAATAATATGACGATATCACGATATTATTTCTACCATGATAAGAGTACAAATTAATAGATATATTTTTTTATTTTATAATATTAAAAAATAATGTCATATTTATATTATTTTTAATTTTTTAAATACTAATTTACATGTCTACTCATCTTGATTGTTCTGAATAAGAATATACCACAGCAAAAGAAAAATAATAAATGCTAACTTTCATCAGGCAATGCAAATCACTAATGATCAGTATTTTCTAACCTACGCAGTTTATCTTGGTTTGTTAGTTGGAAGCATTAGCTATCAAGTAAGAGATTTTGAATTTGAGTTTTACGTATGTGATGTGCGTGCTAATTTGTCCTTTTTAGGTTTAGACCTTCGCCTTTTCTTATCATGGTCGTCGAGTTCTAAATCCTAGATGAGAAAAATTGAGAGTTGCATTAGTTGAAAATTACTTGCTTCTTTTATAATTTTATGAGCAACTTATCTAAATTCTTATAGGAGGAGCAATTATTAGGTCCTTTCACTGGATGTAGAGGAAGGTTCGGTTTTAGCCAAAAATAGATAAAAAGTGCAAATACCGAGTTTTTTGAAAAACTAAGTATTTTTTCAAGAAACTCGGTATTTGCACTTTTTTAGGCAAAACCGAACCTTCCTCTAGGTCCTTGCACCGGACCAAATAAAAACTCCTTATAGGAGAGAGCAACTAAGCTCTTCCTAAAAAATGATTAAGGCATTCTACATCATACAATACAAATTTGTTTTCTATTATTATGTTGTCAAAAAATTAACAGCTCCAATCAAGGATCGAGATTGAAAAGAGGTCTAATCGGTTTGGTTTCATTGAACTGCCTGATATTTTTCATATGATTAAATTATCGAATTTTATTTTTGATCAATGATTGATTTTAATTATGATTTTTAAAATAAAGAAAATAAAATAAAATCTTTAAAAAGAAACTAGCGGATCTCTCAAATTGGGGAAATTATTTGTGCAGTTATCGGACCATCTGGAAGTGAAGCAAGATGCATCACATCACAGCGGTACATATCACCGATGTATAGCAAAGAAGTGACCAATACCTCAAAATTATAATTGGCATTCATTTTACTTGGGTTTTGTTTGAAGCAGCTTTTTTATTGAATTCTAAAACAAATTTTTAATACAAAAATTTCTAGTCCAAAAATTTTTTGTAATAAAAAACTACTTTATAAAACAATAAAAAAATCTATCCCAAACGAAGACTATTAGAAAACTGCTTTAGAAAGCAGTAAGAAAATTATCCCAAATAAAACCTTAATCAAATACAAAAAAAAAAAGTCAGCTCATGCCAAACGTATAAAACCCTTTTTCTTCAATTCTTTTCACAAAATCTTCACCTTGCAAACAGTCTAAATAAACTAGCAAAATGGAGAACACACGCAGACCTTCGCTACCCTTTATATTTAGAACTCAAAACAAAATGTGTTTCCTCTACAACCGAGAAAATTTTCAAGTATAAATAAATCTTTGCAGCAATGCTTGCAATGAAATTTCCAAGTCAAGAAAGAAAATTTTGAAAATAACAGGATTTTGTGAGTTGCTTTGGGTACCCAAAAAAAGCCAGGATTCCTGCTTCAACAGACCTTAAAACTGTTGGACCTGCAGCAGAAACTCATGGATTCATTGCAAAATCAAGAGATTAGCTCATCAGTCTCCTTAGCCTTTTCTCTGCATCACGAGCAGCCTTGTTTTGTGGTTCTAGAACAAGAGCATGCTTGAAATCTGTATTGAAGAGAAGAGTTCAAACACAGTTTCAAACATAGAAAACTTACCAACATTAATTCATCTTTTGATAATGTAATCAAAGACAGGAAGTTTGATAAAGAAAAAGCTAATCATATATCGCATCAGCCTTCTTTTTTGAATGAAAATATCAATATATTCAACTAAAAAAGAAAGCTACTATGACTGGGTGTAATGCACTCCAGAATCCACACAATTTTTGAACAATACCTGAATATTCGATTCTTGAATTAGTCGTCTTGCAAAAACAAAATATGCAACTTTAAGGTTAATACGGTTTGATACAAAAAAAATTTAGATTGCTTCATTTCCAATGCGATATTTATCACATATATACAGCCTTGTATATATGCGATAAATATCGAATTGGAAAAAAAATAGCTGAAACCAATAGCAAAAGCAGTTGCAGATGAAGTTTTCTTACGTTCTAGGATTTTTTAATGCAATTAAAAGATGTAATTAATGAAAATCAGATAAAATGAATTGAACATTGGCAGATTTAACAAGAAACGTCAGCTTTTGATGTAACTCAAAATATGAGAAATTCACTCAAAGAATAGTTTAATAATTATCCAAATCAAAGAAATTCAGCTATAAATTGGAAAATGTACAAACAAAAATCCAATTTGATTGTAATTCACACCATAATTGAAAGCCTAGCTGTAATATATTTGGCTAAATTAATTTCGCTCGCAAAACCAATCACAAGTAGCATAGAGAAAAAGAACAATATAAGAATTCACCAAGAAGCAAAAAATATAAACTCCACGCTGGTACAAGGAGATGATTTCTCCAAAAATTAGTTGTCACACTTATACCACATTCAAATGAATCAACATCCAATCAGGCACGCACAACTAAGCAGAATATGAAGTTTTATTGAGCAAAAAAATGATCCCATATGTGCCTTAGTTTGATCTATTTATAATCAGCTATTTAGTTGCTTCTTCAAAATATATACTCTAAAAATTGCACTGAAACTCCATAATCTTCCCCGCATAAAAGCCATAACAACAATGTGATAGGAAACACTTGGATTTCCAAGTGTTTCTCACCAAGATCAAGTAGATCCAAGGGAAAACTGCTGTCCACAGCAGAAAAACAGCCATAATACAAGAAAAATCTGAGAGGAAAACGTAGGAAAACGATGCAAACACTTTTATTTCGATAACGGATGAAAAGCACTTGCAAGATACAACTTTCCTTCAATTCGAGAGGAAGGAAAAACTCTCCAAATCTCTAGCCGTAGCCTAGAGCCCAAGAACACAAACCCTAGATCTCAAATAAGATTCAAATTCAAGATCATCCTTCTCCCCCCTATTCCTCCTAATTTATCATGAAAGGAAGATTACAAATTACCTAATCACCCCTCACATTCAAAAATTCCCTCCCAAAACTCAAAATACATCAAGTGGGCCCCCCTAGGGGTTTCCGCCCAGCTCCTGGCTGGGTTTCTTCCGCCGGGAGTAGGTCCTGACCGGTCCAGGGTGGACCGGTCCAGCCGGCCCAGGATGGGCCGGCGTAACACAATGTTACTTGGATAACATCAATAAGCATGAGAAATAATTCACATACATGATGTAGGAATAGGAGAAAGACATAGCCTTGAGATAAAAAAAGCCTTGTGCAAAAAATCTCAAGAAAGGCATTACTCATCCATTTGTAGCTAGGATTGTAAATGAGTCTAGCTTGAGTAAGCTTAATATTTGTTCATGTTCGACTCATTAGAATTTTCATTTATATGAAATCAGCTCATGCTTGAAATTCTTTGTAAACACATGTTGATGTTTGGCTCATTCAAAATTCAAAAATGAAAACAAATAAATAACGAGCTGGATATGACAGAGCCATTCTACTTATCTAATAACTAATTAATAAATCTAAAAAAATAAGTAACCACAGAAGGGGGAACAACTAAATCCAATGTATGAAGTATGAGCGCAACACTCATTTCAAAACCATGTTTGTTTCCATAAACAATGTAATAGGACTTCTTAATGTCTTTGAATAGAGACAAACTATAGGAACAAGGCAAATGTATAGAAGAAAGAATGCAAGTAATCAAACGATAAATAAATGAAAATAAGATGAGATGTTGTGTTATACCTTTCTATGGGGCAATTTAGTAAATGCACATCTTTAGTTGCATCTAACATGCTAGGAAGCGTCTCTTCAAATGATAAATAAACAAAAATAAGTTGATCAATATGATGTGTTATACCTTTCTATGGGGGATTTTAGTTAATGTATATCTTAGTTGCATCTAACATGCTAGGAAGATTGTTTGCTCTCATTGTCGCCCTCTCCCAATGTCGTCAAGATCGTCTACTCGCACTCCCTTCTCTACACTCTAGTTGTGCGCATCCCAGTCAAATCAATGTCCTCCAGGCTATACTCATTTTCCTCACATCATCCAACCTTGATTTCTGTCATTTGAGTTGACCTAAGCATAGACGAATTCTTTCACCAAAATCCTGCATCAATCTCCTAGGCGAACTGTCCTAATTGATATTGATCTACTCCATGCCCCCGCTCATTAGATCTTGCTACACACAACAATTGATCCCACCATCCTTAAAACTCCAAATGTAATCAATATCTCAAAGCTGTTGATTTCTTCTCCATCCCTCTCAAAAGCCATAAACAATAACAAAACTTCAACCAACATCAACACAACAAGTGCATGTTGCTTAACCTCAATGCTCAATTACATTGATTCAGCAAGCTTGTCTTATCTTGCCCCTTCATTCTTCTTTTATTTCACTTTACATAATTAACTCAGACACAAATGCAAGTATAAATGTAGAAGAATCATTGCTCTTTGATTTGATTAATATGAAGACTGCATCCTTAAAATTTGATCCAACTGAAAATTGAATATCTTCATGTCGTTGATATTCAATCCAAATGAAGCTTTTTTAGCCTAGTCAAATATTCCAGCTGAATGTTCCAGCTGCAGGAATTAGTTTATAATAATAATAATATCTTTTTATGTAATTATCTATCTTTATTCAATTTTACCCCTTAGACCCAAACCGATCAATCTAGTAGCCCAAACCGGTTCAGCTATTAGGACCGACAGGCGACAGCTTTAAATAAGATCACTACTGTAATATTTTGGCAGGTAATGAAAACTTCTGCTTTATTCTTTCTTTATCTTTTCTCCGGAGTCCACACCTACTCAAAAGATATCACCCGACTCTTCTTGGTCAACCAAGAAGCACATCACAGTCGCACGCATTTAGAAGACATCAAGATGCAAGCAGACATGTGGGAAGCATTGCGAGGTTGTGTGGGCTATAACATGTGAGCAAGAGCGATAGAACAGAGCAACAAGTGTTATGAGCAATGAGCAAGCATACGAGTGCATGCAAAGATGCAAGCAGTGCAAGGGGCATTGTGAGCAGTTCAAGCCATCAGGGTCACGTCATATACCAGCATTGCACATTTGATCAAGAAGACCTACATAACTGGGAGGGGGGATTGCTAGGGCTACCAATAGTCTAACACCATGTTATATGAGAAAATTGATGTGTATTTTGACTAGAGATCAACCCTATTATAATTAAGAAATTAATACAATGTTCAATAATACATCTGTTGTGGGGCACAGAAACTTTTCAGCAGATTAAGAACCTTTCAGCTCTCCTGTGGGGCCTAGGATCTCCTTTATCACCTATAGGAGAAGAGGCTGTGGGGGGTGCTCTCTGGGAAAGATGTAAGAGGCATTTATCAAGGGATTTTGGCTAATTTGAATTCAAAATAAGGAGAGAAGTAGGAAGGTTTATATAAGGGCCGATAGGGTTGTTTTATTTTGTGATGTTATGTGTATTTGCTGTAGTTTTCTTTGGAGTTGTTCCTAATGGTGACTAGGGTTTGAGGAGAGCCGATCTACCTCTCGAATAGTAGATCAACTTGTATCTTGATTTGTTGTGCTAAAATAAACTTCTTGTTGATTTTTGTTGTGTTTTATCTTGCTCTTGCTGGTTTTGCTGTGTGGAGGACAAATTCCAATCAACATCTTAACAATATAAACCACTTTCCAAATATAATAAACATTCCTATTTAATATAATTCTAGTATTCTAAGCTACCAGAAAGGCAAAGGCTTGGGATTAGAAAAGCCTTGTGCCAACAATCCTTGATGAATGGCTATTACAAAAAGAGTCAACACCTAATTTATTAGTTTAAATAAAGGACAGCATCCACAATAAGGGTTGAACACAATGTTGCGAAGAGAACTGAACAGGAAGCTACCGGAAACAGACGTGAGAAGGGTAGGGAAAAGAGTAAGTTCCATGTCAGTTAACAATCACAACAATACATCATTTATTTCTTACAAGCACCGGTGATAGAGCACAACTATGCATTGAAAAAAATCCAAATAAGCGTAATTACACAATGAAAATATATAGTTTCCAGCAGAAATTTCAACAGAAGAAATTTCATACCTTGAGCAGCTTCTTTATAAGATACGAGCATCTCCCTCGCTGTTCCTCTTCTTAGATATGCTTTAACATTCTGCCAAAAATAAATAAAACAATTAACAATAATAATGATTTCACATTATTGAAGGTAGAGTTCCTCCAAAGATACTTTTATTAGACTATACAAAATAAATATATGCAGAGAGCAAATAGAAAGTAAACACTAGAAAAGCAAACCATTTATTACAAGATTTAAAATTTTTAAGTCATAAGAAACACCTTAAAATCCAGAAAATTATGATGTTATAGAAGGTAATTTACAGAATTTTTCAGGAAATGCAATATTCTTCAGGTGCAAACAAGAATCACTTGAGGGTTGTTTGGGCTCACTTTTTATCTCTTTTTTTTTTCTTTATGTTTGATATGAAATAGAGACATATTTAGCATAAGTCATTTTATGTAGCAATAGCAGCAACAATCACAGCAGTAGGGCGGTGGTGAGAGCAGTGGCGATGGCACTACGACGATGATGACAGTCGACAGTGGTTGCCATTTACTCAACTGAGGATCATGATCTCATGATTCCATCATCCCAGGTATACCAAAGATCTTAGTCTACCAACGCTACCAAATCATTGGTTGCAGCGTCCAAACAATCTGATTAGCAGCCATGGGTTGATCCTCTCAAGGATCCCAAATAGACTGAGGTAGTTAAATGTTTGTTTTAGTTTAGTGGTGGTTTAAGTTTGGGGCTTATATCTATTAAAATGCTCGTTAATTTATTTAGTTTGGGGCTCCTAGCTCCTTTTAGGGGTTGCTCGAGGGTTAGATTTAGGGATGAAGATTATGGCTCCGTTTCTTAGAAGTTGCCTGTTAGATTTGTTTAGGATGGACTTTACGGATCCGCTTAGGAGTTGTTCGGTAGTTTGGTTTGGAATGAGGATTACGGCTCTGCTTAGGAGTTGTCCGTTAAATTTGTTTAGGATGTGGCTTAAAGCTCAGCATAGGAGTTGCCCAGTAGTTTGGTTTGGAATGGGGCTTATGGCTCTGCTTAAGAGTTGTCCGTTAGTTTCAGTTGGGATGAGGCTTACGGCTCCGCTTAGAAGTTGCCCGAGGAATTAGATTTAGGATGGCGCTTATGGCTCTGTTTAAGAGTTGCCAGTTATATTTGTTTAGGATAGCGCTTACAGCTCTGCTTAGGAGTTACCTAATAATTTTTAGTTGAGGGTAGGATTTATGACTGAACTTAGAAATTGTTTGGCAATGTAGTTTGAAATATGGCTTACTGCTTCACTTAGAAGTCATCTATTAGGTTCAAATTAGGATTTATTACTTCACTTAGAGGCTCCTTAATGAGTTGGTTAAGAATAAATATTGTTGCTTCATTTAGAAGTAATCCAATTTGATTTAGGGTTTGTTGTTTCATTTAAAAACTTCCCTTAACAATTTGGTTGAAGTAGGCCTTACTACTTTATTGAGAAGTAGCCTGATAATTTAGGTTTAGTTTGAACTTGATTTAGGATTAGTTACTTTATTTAGAAGTCCCCCTAATAAATTGATTAACAATAGATCTTACTTCTTCTAATTAAAAGTAGTATGTTAGATTAGTTTGTTGAACTTAGGAATAGTTACTTTGGTTTCACTATCCTTTTGTTTCAGCCGCTTTGTTTTCACTCCAGTATTGTTGTTTTTGTTATAGCACTTGACTTTTTGCTTCAGCATATTATGCAGCACCTAAATTTATATTTTTATTTGCTTGCAGGTATTGGAGCCCGCACTGAGTTGGAATTTGTTTGAGTTTTGTTTGGGACTTAAGAGTTTGGAGTTGGAGTTTGTTTGAAGTTTTTTTTTTAGTTTGTTTAGAGTTTGTTTGGAGTTTTAGTTGAGTTTGTTTGGAGTTTGTATTTAGTGTAAACATTTCCTTCTCTATTTTTTTATTTGATTTATCGTATTTTTAAAGTAATGAATTAATCAATTAAAAGAAAATTTTAATTTATTCTGTTTTAAATTAATTAACTAATTAATCAATTATTTAAAATTTATTCTAATTAATTAATTAAAATTTTAATTAACAAAAAAATTAATTACTTATTACTATTTTTAAGACTCTTTTTAATTTAATTTAATATTATTTTATTAATAATAATTATTAATACTTATTTTACTTTAATTTGCCCTCAAATCTCTCCAAAAGCTCTCATGAAATTTTTTTTTATTTGAAACTTTTATTTTAAATCTGGTAACCTCATGGCGCCCCCTTCCCCCAAAGGGAGGTTGGGACAAAATTTGTCATTCAATCCACCCAACCGGATCAAAGATTCAACGATTGAGGGCTTTGGGAGGATGATTGGTCATGGCACATGTCTTCGGATCTTCAATTTGCATCACCTTGTTTTTCATTTTCTCAAAAATTCGGGAGCTTCTCAACGTCCCCTCCCCGCATAGGGAGGTCGAGACGACACTAACCATTCAATCTACCTAGCCGAATCAAATATGCGACATCTAAGGGCTTCAGGACGATTGGTCCCGGCACAATTCTTCAAGTCTTCAATTGGTGGGCAATTCCTTGTTTTTCTCTTCTTTTTTTTTCTTTTTTTTAATTATTTACAAACACTCCACTGTTACATTGGATACTCACAGGAAGAAGACTGATTCGAGCAAACGAGCGAGAGGAGGGTCAAAGACAGGCCATGGGATGGGAGCGATGGGAGGTGTCGAGTCGCGGGACTGGAGCGACAGGCAGTGTTGGGTCGCGAAAAGGGGAGTGATGCGGGCAGACGTGCATAGGTAAATGCGCGCGAGTGTGGGGAGACGGTCGAGTGGAGCGGTGCCAAGGCGCATAGGAGTGGGATCAGACAAGCAGGTCGCACGTAGTGGCAGGTCAAAGACAAGCCGTAGGACAAGAGCAAAGGGTGGTGCCTCACGTACGGGAGACGGCTGGAAGAAGGCTCGAGCAGTTGAGGGAGACAAATGAACAGGGAGTGCAAAAATGGGCGTAATTCTTGTCATTTTTTCCTCTTGTATTGTCGACCAACTGTGTCAATTCGCGAAACAAGGCATCCGCTTATTTTTGAATTCATTATTTATTTATTTATTTTTATTCAACAATGGTACCAGTTGGGGCTACAGTGGTGGTGGCGATTAGCATAAGGTGGAAAAAAGTTAATAGCTCAAAGCATGTTTACGAACAGAACAAACTTTATAGAAAAAACAACTAATATACACATTACTTCATATAGGAAAGCAAACACCAATCCTACATGTCTGAATCAATAAAGATTTAAAACAAAGAACAGGTCGGGAAAATGAAAAGCTATGCATCAGGCAAATTCTAACCATATCAGCCGCCTTTATAACATCAATAAAACTAAAATTAGTGCATAAATAGCACCGGAAAATAAAGAAAATGACAATTTCTAAAATTTTGAATTCAATATATAGTAGTTAAAAGATCTTAACGTGCATCTTATCACCTTTTTATCTAGCAAAATGGCTTGATTGCAATCTGCTTCAGCCTGCTGGTAACTGCAAATAATTGTCAAAAGTGATTAAAAAGAAATCCTACATATCATGGGATCTGTCCAAGCTGATCATACAAAAAAGATGAAACGTACCACCCCAGTTCGAGATAAGCAGCTGCTCTGTTACAATAATATGTAGCATTTGAGTCGTTCAATTTAATGGCTTCCGTGTAGAAGTTAACAGCCTTGTTCCACTGTTTTCCTTTGAATGCAGCATTTCCCTGAAAAGGCGAGAAATGGAACATGTGAAGAACTTAAGTTGAAACAAATAAAAATAGTAGTCAGATCATGTGCTCATTTTCATGTCTCATCATGAAAAACTATTTGGAGTTCAATCTCAGAATCATCCCCCATTCACTCTTATTGAGGTTATATATGATTTTAATTATATTTTATGCACATCTTTTTGCACAATATTACCTTTGATCTATATTTTTTTCCTCCTAGTATTTAGAAAACGCCCATATCCCTCTCCGAACCACCCATGTACCGTTACATATCATCAGATAAAGGAAAGCATCCGTAAATAAGTTTACAAGAGCAATATTCATGACTGCAGCAATGCTTGCTAGAGATTTAACAAGCTCAAAAATTTTACTAATGCCGGTTTCCCATTAAACATTCCATAAATTCAAAACAATTTACACTACGGAAATTTTTTGCAGCTCTTTGAATTTAGTGCAAAGAACATGAAATACTGTGAATGGAGAGAAAAAGTAATTACTATAGAAGTGTATTAGCTGCAATGTGATACGGACACGAGAAGTTTTATTCATGGCATAAAGCTCTATTGAGGAAAAGTGTCAATGGGGTAGATAAAGAGAGATTGAATGAAGAAAGAAAAGACGGGGTGTGGCAGCCGGTGTTAATAAGCACTATTGGTGCACTCCAGCATAAGGGTTTTGACGCACAATTACTAAAAAAAAAAGTACAGAACATAATATAGACTAGACCAACACATAAATCAAATCTTCAAGATTGAAACGATAGCATAAAAAATACATCAAACATCAGTATGTATATCATTTTTTCTTCTTTTTTTGCAAGGGTTTGTTATAAAGACAAATTCACTGGCATTTATCCGAACAAATGTGCTAAATTTTAAGTTGGTTATCTTTTATAAACCAAATTCCATATATATATATATATATATATATAAGGAAATTTTTGGACGGTTTTATTCCTAAATAAATGACTCCAATACAACAAAAGAAACCACAAATACTTTCTAATGACTAAATTATTTTAAAGAACAAAAAACAAACCTTTTCTTTCAATAACTCCGAAGCATCCATGTCTCCATTAAAATCTGGTAGGGGGGCCAAACTTGACGCAAGGCTAATTTGCTCCTGGAGAGATGAATGCATGTCTAGAACGGTATCAAGAAGAAACTTATCTGCTCCATGTGCCGCTATGAATGATAGCGAAATGGGATAGCTTTCATGCTTTCCTAGTGGAATGGCGACCTGGAAAACAAAAAAAAAATATGCATATACCTAAAATAAAGCCTCAAATTTTACAAATAGTAAAGACGATACATAGACGCAATAACAACCTAGAAAGGTGACCTTGAAAGATCATAAATTCATTAACTGATATTATTACCTGACAACAGCCCGATAAGCCTGCAAGGCACAACAACATAAACAATCGATCTTCAAACTCAGGAGACATTTTCCTCTTCGAGCTATGCTTTGAAAGGAAATCAGGGATAGTTGGAATAACCAAAACTCCATCATCCTGGCGAAGAATATGGAAACAGTATCACAAAAACTATAGAATATTCTTAAGCATTTGAAATGAACGTGATCAAGTATGTAGCAGGGATTAAAGCACTTCTTCTTCTTTACCCATTATCATTCTATCTTCGAAACCATCAGCAAAATTAAAAAAACAAAGTAGATATCTGAGGACAGTACGCAAAGGGAAATCATCTATCTAAAGTTATAAAAAACAAAAAAAGATAATTTCCAAGGAAAACTAGAATGGTGTTACGTAACCTGAAACATAAGAAAAAAACACAGAATTGATATCAAATAGGGTCTCAACTCAAGTCAGATTCACAGATGGGTTTCTGACCCGCTTACAACCAGATTTGAATCATTCAATAAATGAGTTGAAATTCAAATCCAAACATCAATGGAAATACTCTGGAAATCTAGCCTAACCCATGTAACCAATAATAAAGCATGTCCATTAATAAAGGAATTATTTCTTGTCAGCGGGGACTAATCATCAACATCAGGATTTTCATCAAGCTCAATTATAATCTGGTTGGCAGGGAGCAGTTAGGTTTCCACTTGATGTAATTTTTATTTGTATTTGTTTTTTTAACTCAAGCCCACTTTGAAGTTGACCTGAACCGTTCAAAAATTGACCAAAACACCCACTCTGGATTGTGTCGAGGAGGTCTACTTGAGTGGTGCTAAAGGCCTTGAGCACTCAGACAAGGCTTAATTTGTTAGTTTGGTCCAAGAATAGTTCGTTACCACGTCAAACTACATTAAGACCATAAAATAATGCTTACAAAGACAAAATTTATATCACTTAATGCCATAAACAAAGGAATCAAGTGAAAAAGGATTTCGTAAGATTTTGATAGGAAACACTTTAAGTTATCAAGAATCCCCATCAATCTTTTGATAAAACCGCGAAAACCTTCCTCCAAACTCCAATGAAAATTAAGAAAAACAGTAATTTTATTGCAAGAATCAAATAGAATGGAATAAAATACCAAGATACAGTTGATCCTCAATTCGAGAGGAGGATCTCTCTCTCAAATCTCTAGACGCCGCTAAAGCCCAAAAACCTAAGAGATCTCAAATTTCAGCCAAATTCAAAAATCCCTAACCCTAGCAAAACAAATTATTTAATGCATACAATCCAAAAGGAAATCTCTAAACAGTCCCTACATTCAAATTTTCCTCCTAAACTCCTAAATCCTTTCTAATCGGAATTCTTGGACTGGGTGGTTGAAGTGACTTGTACAGGAGGCGGAAGAGTTCCTCCTCTATTATGCCTGAGCCGATCCCGTATGGACTGGCAAGACCGGTCCATTGGACCAGTCTAACAATACTCCCCTCCCAAAGACCCACCTTGTCAACAAGGTGGAAAGATGACACCCTCCTCCATTCCCTCTTCATCACAAAAGGTAAGAACCTGAAGAGTTTGGTCCTTACACCTGTGCCCCGACGTATACCTCACATCATATCTGAAACAGAAACCCTTCGCCCTTTTCTCCTGTAATTCCATTTTTATGAGCTTCTTGAAGTTGTCCCCATGTCTTCCTCCTATAGTCTTCTCCTTCGAAGTCTCCCTAAGAGTATCCGATGTTGGCTCCTTAGGTGCCAAAAAGGTGATGGTCATCCTCTGCGAGCCTCCTGAGCTATTGCCTTCCGTTCCTCTCTCCATGTGTCTTTGATCCTCCACTAACTAAGCTAGCTCCATAGCTTTTCCCAAGTCACGATGTCTCATCACTCTAACTACTGCATAGATCTTTGATTTCAATCCCAATCTCTAGAAGTCGATCCGGTCAACTGGCAATGTACTCAAATTACTCATGGTACTCTACCATTGTCCCCTCTTGCATCAAAGTGAAGAACTGTTCATAGAAGTCCTCTTCCCGGCTAGTTTAAAAACGTTCAAACAAGCAGTTCTTAAACTCCCTCTAGGTCCGTATCCAACGCCTCATACCCCTCCACTGGTACCATACTAAAGCTTTCCCTTCCAAGCACATCCTGGCTACCATCAATCTCCCCCTCCGTCAACCTGTTGACAATAAAGTACATTTCCACCTTGTAGATCCACCCATAGACATCCTCTCCCTCGAAAATAAGCATCTTCAATTTCCTCATCCTCATATCGCCTTTGTTTCCTCTGTTCCCTTTATAATTTCTTATTCCCCAAGGGGGTGGGGCTCCCCCCAAGTGTCCCAATCATCCCTTCTACGTTCATAACCGAAACTATCATCAAATTTTCACATTCTCCTTTCAAATTCAGCACCCCTTGGATCACAACAAACCCCTCCCCTTTCAAATTCAGCCCTCCTTTAGTCATAATTACCCCTTTTCCTTTCAAATCTCGTCCCTGTCCTCTCCAAATCAGCACCTCTTCGATCCTTCCCTACCTCCTCCCACCTCTACTCATAACTTCTACCCAACTCTTCCCTCAGAATAAGCCCTAGGGGAGGCATTTTTTATGTTCACTTCCCTCACCTCCAACGTCAATATTTTGGTTTGTCCCACAAGCACTTTCTTCAACATCTCCCCCGGGATGGAAAAATTCAAATCAATCTTCTCATGGGTGATTGAAATATCTTTCTTTAAATCTGAAACTTGAGTTTAGAGATCTAAAATTTCAGATTTCATTTGTATGATCTCCTCTTTCAACACTTCTACCTTTTTCCCTGCCATGGGTAATCGGATATATGCTACAAACAGTAAAAACAGCCAAAAAAATAGCAGTTCTAGTCTTCAAACAATAAAAAAACAGGAAGATCAGAGAGAACACGTAGCATAAATTAGCGAGAGTCTACTATTTCCGCCCAGAAAATTGCTATGATACCAATTTGATAGGAAACACTTGAAGTTATCAAGAATCCCTCTCAATCTTTGATAAAACTGTGAAAACCTTTCTCCAAACTCCAATGAAAACAAAGGAAAACAGTAATTTTATTGCAAGAATTAAATACAACGGAAGAAAATATCAAGATACAATTGATCCTCAATTCGAGAGGAGGATCTAGCTCTCCCAAATCTCTAGACACCACTAGAGCCCAAAAACCTAAGAGATCTCAAATTTCAGCCAAATTCAAGATGCCCTAACCCTAGCAAAACAAATTATTTAATGCATACAATCCAAAAGGAAATCTCTAAACAGTCCCTACATTCAAATTTCCCTCCTAAACTCCTAAATCCTTTTAATCAGAGTTCTTGGACTAGGCGGCTGGAGCGACTCGAATTGAAGAAGAAAGAGTTCTGCCTCTGTTCTGACTGAGCCGATCCCGTATGGACCGGCTAGACCGGTCTAAATTATTTTAAACCACACGTTAGAAAAAAAAAATATAGATAACAACGTAAGCAAAGAAGCGCAAAAATAACTAAGATAAAGTTAAAGGTTTTGATAGCAAGAAGAATTACGATAAAATAGGCATTTGAAGAAAAAAGATAAAGAAAGGTTCAAAAGAATTACATGAATAACAACTCTGGATGAAGACCTTAGAAAAAAAAAATTAAAAATTTTGAAATTTTGCAACAAAACTGTTCACATAACTTAAAAAGGCTGATGATGAAAATTTTGAAATGAGGAATGGAAACACTGCTTCATAGAACATACAAACCTTACATTGAGTACCTACATGTCTTCCTTAGTGGGCCTAACAAAACTTACAACAACAACAACAACAACATCAAGCCTTTATCCCACTACGTGGGGTCGGCTACATGAATCTTTTTTCTCCATTGTGTCCTATTAAAAGTCAAATTCTCGTTTAAATCTAATAAAGAAAGGTCATTCCTAAGCATTATGATAAGTGGGCCTAGCAAAACTTAATAAGATAAATTCCTTTGTAGCTCAACTAAAATTCAAAATTCAAAGGCAAAAAAGACATGCACCAACTTGATTAACTTCTCACAAGAGAAGCATAAACAAATGAGAAGTGAGCCTGAAGCTTTACTTCTATTATTCTACGTATCTTTTTTCAAAGCTTATTTGTGAAAGATCTACTATTTACTTAACGTATTTGTTCATTTTGCCTACCCAAAGCAATTTCTTTCTTACAAGCCTTATTTAATATTTTTCTTTCTTTGATGCAACTTTCACTAAGATCTTATTATCCTCATCCTAAATATCTTCAACCTAATCAAAATCCCTATGCACCTTCTCTTGTCTTATCTATTTTACGTGCCCTTTTATTCTTCCTTATAAACTACTACAAACTCTTGAAATAAGCTCCCAATTTTGAAATACTTTCAATGGAGGAAGTCTGATATTTTTATAAATAAAATTCACGTAGATGCTAAGATTTGATTAATTCTAAGCTTCATGCTTCTAATGGATCCAAGCTTCCATGATTAATTAAATCTCCCAATTAGGAGAGCACTTTGCACTCAACATTTTGAGGAATAAGCTTTAGGGCAGTAGCATCACAGAAACGATTGGTTGCACTATAACTTCATGCATGAGGAAATAGCTACATGGTTAGCTGGTAAATCCTCTCAGCATCTTGAGGTTTCATTATCCAGAGTTTTGCTTACTGAACCCCAATCTAAAGAGTCAAGAAATTTTGGTTGTGACATACACCTTCAAGTTAAGCCTCATGATCTAACAATCCGCCTTAGTCCAAGTAGCTACGACATTTAGAACTAAATCAAGAAATTGCCATCAATTTTGGGATTCGAACTGTGAATATTAGTTGTGATTGTTGGGTGCCCAATCAAGAGACATGGGAACCAGCATCCCAGGAAAACAGTAACAAAACTGTCAGGATATGATTTCATGGTAGATCTCATTTATTTTCTTGACACAAGGCTTATCATATATAGTAAAATGAGTAACACAATAGCACAAGTATGAACAATCATGGTTCAAAAGTACTGATCATGACCACAACGGCGCATAGGTTTAACATACCTAAAGGCAAGCATATTTGAACAAAAATAGATTAAAGTTTACATGCTTAGAGATCTATGCACAATCAAAACTAGACTCATAATAAATACTTTCTCAGAATCCCAAAACTT